AAGGGGGGGTGGGAGTTGTATGAAGCAGGGAGCAAGGGTCGAATGCCGGTGTCCAAAGCACCAGCTGTGGTAGGAAGGAAGATGGAAAGGCGATGGACGGGAGAGGCGGTAGTAGCACAGCGGCCGTCCCCCTATAAACTCTTTCCCAATACCCCATCCCAGCCGCCCCGGCCCCACCTGCCCCGCCCTGAGCTTCTCCGCTGTCTGCCTCAGGTGGTTGTGTATCTCCGCCACCACCTCCTCGCGGTTGCCGCCGCTGAGGATGGCGGATAGCGCGAAGTTGCCCTCGTCCTTGGACAGCGGACACCAGTCGCGACGGACAATGTCCAGACCCTTCTGCTCCATCACCTGAAGTGGGGGGAGGCAGGGGGGATTAGGAGTGAGGCAGGGGGATTAGGAGTGAGTGGAAGCCCTGCCTGGAAGGGGACCATCTGCGGGGGTTCACCAGTCGGTAAGCTGGTGGGGAAGCTGAGGAAGCTGCGGATCGGACGGTCGAACGGTCGGATGCCAGACGTGTGTGGCGGACACAGACGTGTGTGGATACACGCAGATAGAGAAACAGAGCGACAGACAGAGGGACAAACAGAGGGGCAAACGGACGAGTTTAGGTGGCGAGGCGACCCGGCACTCGACTTTTCGACTCGTTTTTTCAGTTTGATACTACTACTTACGCACGCCACTCGCCCCCAACCCCAGGCAGGCTCCTTCCATCGCTCCCCCACCATCCTCCTCCTCGTCCTCCTGCTCACCTGCACCACCTTGCCCCCCGGCTCCAGCTCCAGCTTCATGGCCGCGTACTTCTTCTTCTTCAGAAGCAAGATGGACCGGAAGATGCCGTCCAGCTCGATCTCCAGCAACCTTAGCGGGTGCAGCAGTAAGGTGCAGAAAGGGACGCGCACAGAGGGGGAAGGTATCGGCATTTCCGAGCAGGGGGACCGGCCGAGGCGCAGGCGCAGGGGAGGAAAGATGCCCGCCCCCTCCCTTCCCCCCTTCCCCCCTCCCTGTCCTCACTTGTATCTCTTGTTCACCTCCTTTTTGATTTTGGCCCCCAGCTCCCGCGCCTCCTCCACACTGTCGCTGTGAGTGGCAACCATGATGGAGTCCGTGTCGCCGTAAATAACCTAAGATGTGCGGCAGGAAAACGGATAGACGGGGGAAGGGGGAACGAGGGGGGGAAAGACGAACCACGAACGAGTGAAGCTGCTGCCAGGGCAAGAGTGTACCAGAAGTAGAACTGACTAAAAGGCGTTCTTGAACGAGGGGTGAGGGTTTCGTAGCCCGTTTCCTGTTGTCCGCGGCTTTCCCCTGTGAAATTCCCATGAACATGTGTACCCCACTCCCAACACCCCGCGCCCTCCTAACCCCGCCTTACCTCCGCGCCGATGCTTCCCTGCACAAGATCCACCGTACTCGACAAAATGGATCTGCCCTGAGCCGTGATCAGCTCAGCAAGCGGCTGCGCGTAAAAGCGACTGGCGCCGAAACCAAGACAGCCGTACATGGAGTTGGCCGTCAGCTTGATGGCCTGCTGGCGCACTTGCAGCTGTTGGCGAGTCAGCGGGTTCCGCTCTGAAGACATGGCCGCCTTCACCTGGACGTTGTCGGTGTGGGTGTATGTGAGGGGAGGGAGGGGGGCGGGGAGGTGGAGGGAAAAAACACTTGGTAGGGCAAGGCGAGGCAGCCTCACCCCCTACACCGTGAACAGCACATCTCAGATCACCAAGCCACCCCCCACTGCACCCCTTGTCCTATGGTAGACGTCGTTCCCCCTACCCGCTTCCTCGCACCCTCCACCCTCACGTACTTGCTTACGGCGGTTGACCAGCGACTGCAGCACCGCGGGCAGGGGCGCCAGGCCCTTGGCGGCCGTGGCGGGGTTGGGCAGGGCGGGCAGGGAGCCGTCCTGGGGACGAGAGACGGTGGTGAAGCAGATGTTGTACTCCTGACAGCAAGGGAGGGGAGGAGGGGGGAAACAAGATGCAAAAAGCAAAGGGTTAGTTGGGGATGTGGGGCGGGATGGAGGAGGGCCTGGCGGGAGAGACCTTGTCTGCCCGGGTATCCATGCGCGCATGTTGGGGGGGATAGGGAGGAGCTCGATGGTCGGGTTGGGTTGAGGAAGGCTGGGGAGGGTGTCGGCGGCAAAAACACACACGCACAAGGTCGGCGGGATAGGAATTCGTAATTAGTAAAAAGGAGGAAAGTGGCTTGAGCCAAGCATTGTTTCCGCAGCTAGTCAGCTTACCAGTGGTGTTGCTTGTAGTTTTCTGTGTTATATGTGTTAGAGAGGGAGAAAGGTACGGCACCCACCTGGATGATGGAGGGGTACAGTGAGTTGAAGTCCAGAATGATGACAATCTTGTCGTACAAACCCTTCTTCGGCTCCAGAACCAGACCACCGCTGTACTTGGGCCCGTTGGATTTGGCGGCAGCTGCGGATGCGGAGCCTTTCTTGCCCTTCTTGCCCTTCTTGCCTCCGCCGGCATCGTCCTCGCCGTCATCGTCGCCGCCGGCATCGTCGTACTCATCCGCCTCCGCCTGCTGCTTCCGCTGCTTGTCCTACAGTAGCCGAAATCGCACGAAACAACAGCTACAGGGATGGTGATGGCGGTGGTAATGTTACCTGCTGCTGCAGCTGGTTAGATATGACCCTTCCGAATGCCTCCACAATGGGCAAAATCATCCCGCCATGTACCCCAGCAACCAGGTTTCAAACCTGCATCCCCCTCCCATTCCCTTCCCTAATCCCTAATGGCAGCATCCAGCCCACCTTGTACGTCTGTTTGTCGGGCGTGATGAACTTGCGGCCGTGGAACTCATGCAGCAGCAGCATCTCAATGCGCTGGGCCCGCTGGCCCGCCAGAGTGCGACTCCACAACTGACCCGACAACACGGACAACTGCTTGGTCAGGGGAAGGACTGCCGAAGGCGGGGTGGAGTCGGGAGAGGCGAATCATTGATTAGGTCTAAAAAGCCAAGGGAGTCAGCTGCAGACGTCAAAAGCACCAACCGCCCCTTGGGAGTGCATGGGAGTGCAAAGTCGAGCGGAAAAAAGGTGTGTGTGGGGGGGGGAGAGGGGTTTCTGAAGCAGCAGCGCAGGGGATGGAGGACGGAGCGAAGGTGCTGTGGCGACGTGAAGAGGGTTGATTCAGGTCATCCGGGAGAGGACGGGGAATGTGAAGGCGGGGAGAAAGCTAATCGGGGACAGCCATGGTGATGGCAATGGTCGGGACCCGGCCATCCCAAGGCATCCACGCCTTGTACAACACGACGGGAGTAAACGGAATACGGGAGTTTGCAACCACATCCAACTCATTCGGTTCTATCACAGTCTTCAGTTCCATCACAACCTAGGAATTGACCTCGGGCTCCACCGCGCCCACCTCCCTATCCCGGACCTTCCCATCGGCCTCTTCTTCAATAATCCTCCCTCCCCCCTCCTCCTCCTCCCCCACCCTGCTCACCTGACAAGTGGAACATGATACCCAGGGCCAGCCAGGCATCACTCTCCCCGTGTCGCAGCAGCCGCAGGACCCCCTCAGCGGAGGAAAAGCACCCCGCCAGGCCGTCACCAACCCCCGGGGCACCCCCACCCGTCAGCGGGTCAGTCCGGGTCTGACCCAGCAGGTTAGTGGCCAGGGTGCTCAGAGTGAAGTCAACCGACTTGACCAATTCACGAGCTGACAGGTACGTATCACATAACAACCGACCTGCGGGGCAAGAACGGTGAGCGCGAAGAAGGGGGGGAGAGCGACGGAGAGGTGAAGGGGTAAGGGGACGGGATCAAGGCAAGGAACACCGCGGTCTCGGCTAGCCGTGGCTGGAGGATATGATGGGGTTTAAGCAAAACGCAGCCGGTCTGGGCAACCAACTTCAAACTGTGCAGGTATGGAGCTGGGTTTCCAGCTCGTCCTGTCAACCACCATCACCACCATCGTCACCACCCAGCAGTAACCTCCGCTTCCCGCGCCTCTGACCCCTCTTCCCCCCATTCTTCGCCCCTCCCCTCCCTTCCATCCACTCACCCGCGATGGTGGACATGACACCCGGCCCCGCCCCCCCTCCAAAGCTGTGCCCCCCTCCAGTCAGGCGCGGGAACTCCGTCTTCTTCACACGACCAATGCGGCTCCATAGGGGGACCTTGGGGGGTGGGAAATGGGGGGAAATGCGGAACCATATGAAAGGGAATCGTACAGAAGTAAAAGGGTCAACTGGCGAGTTCTCAAGCACCAAACCAGAGCGAAGGAGGACAGCGAGGGAAAAGGGCAGACAAGGGGAGGGGAAGGAGGAGGGCGGGGACAATGTAGAATCCAGGACTACGAAATGGGTATACTTACATTTTCGCGTCACGAACAGAGGCCTGCCATGCAAACAGATCTGATCTGATCTGACGTGTCGCGTACGGCCCCCGTTCCCTTCCCTCTTTCAAGCCCCAGCTCTTCGGCGCCTCCGTATTACAGGTTTCCTGGTTACCTGGGTCCCCTCCGCTTTTCCTGGTTCCCGGCCGCCCTCCCACCAATCCGTAATACCTTGTGGTGTTGCATGCGTGTCAGCAAGGTGGTGAGGTCGAATGCGGCGATGTTGTGGCCCACCAACACATCCGCGTCCAGAGACTGGAAGGGAGCGGGGGGAGTTGGGAAGGAAAGGAGGGGGCAATCATATGATGCGATATGCAAAGTCGTGGCTGCCGACGTACAAGGTCTTGCGAGGAAGAGGGGGAGGAAGAAAGGAGGGACGGATGACCCAGGGGGCGGATAAAGTGTTTGCGGGGCGCTAAGGGACTGCGGGAACGGGAGGACGAAGGAGAGTAAGGGGTTTAAGGGGTTTCGGACAAAAGCAAGTCAGTCTTCATGACGCAACGGATGTGCTTAGCCTTTTCTCCTCCCAAGCACACCGCAAGAGAACACCAAAACCCGTTTACCAAGTTAAGCTATTCTTGACATCTCCTTCTTCCCTCTCCACCTCAATTCAATAGATACCTTCGGCCACGAATACCCTCATCCACATTCCGAGTACAAGGGCGACGTTGCACGCGACTTCAGACATGGCCTGCGTCGAGTGTTTTTCCTACAGCCCTTCTTCGACTCCCCTCACCCAGCAGCCTCCCTGTCGCCTGCTACCCACCACCCTCTGCTGCTGGCTCCCCTACCTGCAACCTGGCCAGCAGGCACGTGAGCAGAGAGCGCTCCGAAGCCTGCAGGGAGATAACGTTGCCACCGTTGGCCCGACCCCGCGGAGTAGCGTTCTCGGCGGCAGCGGCAGGCTCCATGCCTGGAATACACATACGCACACGCCCAGCTCAGTACATAAATGCTGAAATCACTGTTGAGCGTGAACGAGAGGAAAAGGCTTGGGGAAAACTCACACCCAAGGCGGAGCAGCAGCAGCAGCAGCAGGGGCCGAGAGCCAACGCCGGCCTTTGACGTCTTGTGGAAAGAACATTATAAACAGGGGCGAAGCGATGCCGAGAAGTTTAGGTGTTGGGCGGGGTTTTGGACATGTGCTTGTATGTATGTCCGCATGTGCTCACCATGTGGCCAGGCCTGTCCATCCAGTCGTCGTACAATGCTGAAGTTCCTGAGTCTTGCGGGGTTGCCCCACTCCCCGGTGGACAGGGGGGCGTCCGGGGACACCTCCGACAAGTGGACCACACTGGCAGCGACGATCTGGGGGAGGGGGGAGGGATGAGGGAGTGAGGTGAGGTAACGCGCGAGGGAGGGTATGTGAAGGCGGGGTGGAAAAAGGAAGGACAAGCCGGTCCGGCGCTTGATACCCCAGCCCCGGCGGCCAGCAAAGGGAACCAAGAAGTGGAGGTAAGTGACGGGGGAGACGAAGAAGGTATGACGTGAGGCGGGACAGGACGGGCGAGGCCGGGAACAATTACCCACCATCTCCTCACCACCCATCCGGCCCACATGGCACCGTACAGTACGGCACAGTAACCCACCTCGTGTTGGTGGCTTGTGCGGTTGATTTGTGTCTTTAAGCTGAGTGAGGCCACCACCAGTGGCGGGGGCTTGCGAACCGCCACATCGGCTGACAGTCCCTTGTCACCGCTGAGTAACTTCTTGGCGCTATCCACCACCACCTCAACCTGAAAGGGGCGAGGAGGAGGCCAAGGAGTAGGAAGGGGCGAGGGGGAATGGTATAAGAGGGATACAAGGAAGCAGCAGCAGCAGCAGCAGCAGCGAACGCGAGGTGCCGAATACAAAGGAGTGGCGTGATGCGACGTGATGTGATGGGCTTACACGCGTGGGCATGCAAGGGCACGGGGCCCACTGCACATCGTATAACCTCGCTCACATATATACACATACGCACATATACGTTCACGCATCAAGTCATCTCTTCAAGACATACCTTGCACCAAGTCGCCTGGTTGCCGTACTCAATCCGCTGGGGCTGAAAAACGCCCAGCCAGCCGGGGCCCTTGATTCGCCGCTTGAGCTGCAGAGCCTGCATTGAGGTGGTGTGGGGGGGGGAACAACGTGCCGCCGATCTAACACTATGTAAATCGCGAAAAAATAACTTCTGCAACAGAAACAATTGAAAGAAAAGTTGGCAGTGATAAGCGAGTCTGTAGGACTAGGTGAAGCAATGGGACATAGGGCTACCAATCCAACCCGACGCACACACGCGTCCATAACGTCGCCCCAACATCTCAATATGTATCTCCTCCCGACATTCCAGTCCCTCTTCTTTGCTCTGGCCCTTCGTTCCCTCCCCTTTTCGCTTCCTCTCCCCCCTTTTTTCTCTTTCTCTCTCTCATACACACCTCCAGGCAGCTCTGTTGCGCCCCGAAGATGGCCACGAATGTACGACCACTCGGGGGCCCCCCAGTGGGGCTTTGCACGGTGGGCATGTGGGCGGGGTAGCGCACCTGGTGGGGCGGGGGACGGGGGGTGGGCGGAGGCCGGTGCGCGCGCGCGTGTTCGTTTGTTTGTGTGTGTGTGCTTGTGTTGTGTCAAAGGTGACGCAGCAAGTCCCGGGAAAAGGTAACGTCCAGGATTAGGCGGGCGGATGTCGTAAGAGGCAAAAGCAGCGAAAAGCAGCAGAGGATCCATGGATGTGTGCTGGTAGTGGTGGCGGTGGTGATAACGCATCCACGCGCCACATGCCCGTGCCTCCGGAACACGCGTGGACACACGCAGAGCCCCCTCACCCTCCTCCCCATCCCCCAAATCGGTCCTTTGTCACCCATTGCATTAATACCCGCCCCCTCTTCACCACCCACCTTGATGACCCACTGCTCCCCGTGGGGCACATCCTTGACCTCGAATGCATAGCTTCTCTTCACGGGCACCATACGCATGGAGCCCACCCCCGCCCGGGTGAGGAGACCGCGGACCTCCTCCCGAACGGAGCTGCACCGTTCCTGGTCGTTCGGAAGTTGGGGGTTGTTGGTCGTTGGGAGTGTGGGTTATCATGTGGTGCGGCTCCGATGCGATGATAACGACACGAGGGGAAGGATAGGGTATGCGTGGAACCGCCAGCAGCGCAAAGGCGGTCCATGCGCAGATGTGCATGGCTATGTGAATGTGCGTGTGGACTTTTTGCAGGGGCAGAAGAAGGGCGGGGCACGGTGCCGGAAGGGCCGGCGTTGAAGGGCTTGCACCATCGTGGCAGTGCTGTTGTGGCAGTACAGTATTTCACCTGAAGCAGCTTGATGAGCTCTACCCGGCGGGAGGGGTCCTCCTTCACGGCCGCTTCCAATCGGGCGATGGATCCGTCCACGTCCTCGAACACCTCGGGCCGGGGTACCACCAGCAGACAGCGCTGCAGCCCCCGTACTGACACGGCACAGCTCAGCCAACGACCCTCAGACTCCACCTTGCCGAACAGGAGCACCTCACCTGGGGCAGCAGGGAATCCGGGTGGTGAAGGTGGAGGTGGTGGAGGTGGTGGTGGAGGGTTATGGACGTTGAGAGATGTTGTGGGAAGGCGAAATTTATGATAGGAAAGGTCGATATGAGAGGCGGGGCGCGTAAGAGGCTGTGGGGGGTGGGAGGTGCAATATGCTGCAATATATGCCGTGGGAGGTGGGGGTGAAGCTGGATGCGAGGGTCGGGTTTGCTGGCATGGTGGGAAGTGTGTGTGTCTGGGATTGTTGTGATATGTGGCTGGGTGAAGGTGCGCGGGACAAACAACTGCGGGGCAAACCCCTCAGCACTATTACCCTGATGAAAAGCAACGAACGCAAGCCAATCCCCGTCCTACACCTCCCGTACGCCGCACCTGGACGAACATCAGGATTTTCGTACGCATCCAACATGTAGAACGGCATTACGCCATTGCTGTCCAGTGGCAGGGTCCCAGGCCCCGGAGCGGACCCCGGGGTGCTGGAGTCCGGCAGGGGTGAGGGCGCTGGAAGGGGCTCGCCGTCGGCATCGCCGGCATCGCCTGCGGACAAGGGTAGTCGCGGTGGTTATAAAAGTGGGCCAGTATGTGTGGGGGAAGGGTTGTGTTAGTGTCGAGCTCTGTACATGGTCTGGCTCAGAATCCGCTGTTGGGATTCCTCGTACTTCTTTATTAATGGCGGATTACGCGGGAAATGACAGGGTTGACGACGGGTGGTCCCTGACTGTTACCCATCGTAAAACCCTACGTTATCCTACCGCCACTCGCAACAACTACTGTAGATCGCAGCCCGTACCCCTGAAGCGCCGGCAACAGACGGGGATGTCTACCTGTTTGTCAAGTAGTAACCTTCGAAACGTTTACATCCCACACAAGCTCGCCTACGGCTTCAGGAAGTACTTTTCTGCCCATGTGCCCACACCCGTCGGAAATAGGCCTCAGGCGCCTGTAAGCAGAACACACCTGGCAGCGGAGCCGGGTATCCGACATCCGGCATGTGCTCGTCCTCCTCGTTCTGCGTTTCCTCCTGCTTCACAGGCAAGGGTGTCACCGCCGCCTCTACTGCAGGTGCTGTCGTTGCACTGTCGACTGCTGTTACCGGCGCAGCCGGTGCGGTGTCTGAGGTCATCGCGGCCACGGCTGGCAGGCCGCCGACACGTGCGGGTACGGTGTTACCGTACGCGCCACTGCCACCGCCACCGCCGGGCCGAAGTGTAGCCCCAACGGGCATGTGCAATGGCCGTACGACCGCAGGCCTGCGGGGTGGCGATGAGGGGAGACCGAAGGATATTCAGCAGCTCGGCATTCGTGTGATTTGTCTGTCTGTCTGTCTGTCTGTGCACGCCTCCATACACAAACCTTTCCTCACGTGTCCTTGACGGTCCCTCAGCTCAAGGGTGCGAAACCTCCCTTACCCCGTGCTCCTCACTCCAAGTTTATCTTGGATGTTTAACACACCGTCACTTATCCACTCCACGACTTCCCAACACGCCTCCCAAATGTGTACATATGGCTCCTGGCCGTCAGATTCCTCCGCTTCTACGCCCCAAGCTCACTTGCTGTAGGCACCCAGCGCCGTGGCTGGTGTACCCCGCGGCATCCCGCCCATGGCCCCCGCCGTCGCGGGGCCCCCCACATCCGGGAGAAGGTCCCCAAGGATGGAGTCCAGCACATCGTCACTGGACGCATCGGTGGGCTTGGCGGCCCCAGCGGCAGAGCGCTGCAGGCCGGGGATGGTGGCCCTGGAGGAAGAGTCAGCACGGCACGTACAGTACGGCATAGCATAATCGCTAGGACAAAGGCGTCACACGTTGCCGGATTGTGGGAATAAGTGACCAGTTGTGAAAAGTGTGGTGAGGGCGATCTATTTCTTGTAGTTCAGGATGCACCTGCTTCCGGTGTGGGGAAATAGAAGGGAGGAGGTAAGGAAGCCAAGCTCTGCGGCCACAACACCATTTGTGAATGGTGGTCTGGCGGGAGGGTGGGATTTAAACTGCAAGAAGAGAAGGACGGGGTTCAACTGCCGACGTTCAAAGCACCAAGATTGGATTTCAAAGCCATGATGCAACTGCCCCCGGGCGGGTTGTGGGACCCCACAGCGACCGGTCACACCTGGCTTTGCGGAACATGGTGGTGATGTTGCCGCCCTCGGGCTTGGGGACCCCGTCGTCGCCCTCTCCGGGCTTGCGCTTAGAGGTGCCCTTGGCGTGCTCTGTGCGTGACATGGAATGTGGGTGGGTGGGTGCGGAACCTGAGCGATCCACTGAGAAGCTGACTAGGGTGACTGGATGAGGGTGCCCCGGAATACCGGGGAATGCAGGGTTTCGCAGGGTAGCTGCCACGGGCGAAGATACAACCCCCTGTTTCACACACATTACTGACTGTGGTGGAATTCCAGGAATAGGTCTTGACTCCTCATGGGCCTCTTGCTGATTGCATCGTGCGCGGTTCCGGAACAAATGTTAGGGGGAGCCGCTATAACTTTGGGACCTGACGCGCGGTGTTACACTGGTGGGAGCATGCCTTTGCGACGATGTCGTAAAATTTACTCACCCTTCTTTCGCTTCTTATTTGCATGCTTGCCGCCTGAGCCCTGTTCGCCCTCATCCTCCTCACCGTCCTCGCCGTCGGGTCTGCGAGGTGTATTACGTTTCAGAGCGTCGTTGAAGGGGCCTATGGCCAACTGGTAAAAAAGTAACACATGGGGAGCCAACACGCAACTTTATAAGGGTAGCTGTCGGAATCGGGATACCAGAAACCGACGAACTGTCCATGCAGCGGTGCATTTATTCCTTAAGGGCAGCTGTCAATGTGGGCCAAGGTGCATTGTTGCTGACGACGTTTCACCGCACAGCAAGCGCTGCTAAATCGTGCCCCACCGTTCGTTCCAATAGTCGTCCTCTCCGATGTCCGCATAACCTCCAGTCCCGTCGTCATCGACAACAAAAGCTCCAGCATCTCTCCGCTTCTTCACAATCTCCGCGTACTGATGCTCATCAACGACATCATAGACAGCGTCCTCTTCCTTGACCTCATATGTGAGGGCACGCTTGCCCGAACCCTCGCGGGCAGCTCGTAGCTGTTCAAGCGCGCTTTTAGCCTTCGCAGCTGCGCTGCTTTGCACAGGTTGCCGCCGACTGCGTTCCATAAAAGTCCCACGACTTAGACAATTTTTAGATAATACGCAGTGAGTGTTTAGTGGCAACTGACGGACTTCAGTCAATGTGAATCGAAGCGTGCCACGGCTGCAGGTGTATCGTAAAAATAGTCAAAGTTCATACCCAAACCCCAAGCGGCAGGCCAAAGGCTCATTTTAAACTTGCGCGCCCGAGGCTTCGGAGCCCAACTCGCAAAATGCTTGCGACAGCTTTGCGCGGCTGTCGAAGAAGGGCCCCTGAATTGTGTGCTTGTTATCATTGGAACCCATGTACCTGTTACTTACATGGACCGAGTGGCATATCTTTTGTTCAGTTGCGCAATGTATGGTCTCGGAGGAGTGCTTACAAGGCCAAGCCTTTCACATAGCACGCTTGTGGATAGTCAATAACACTGTATTTTGTCATTTTGCAGGTAAAAAAAAGTTACCTGCTATAGTGTTCATGATCCGAGAAGACTTGTGAGAAGACTAGAGCAAAGTGCGAGGGGACGAAAAATAATTTACAGAATTTTTTTGTGCCATGTAATATTAAGTCTACATTCCATTGTTCGAACCAAGGGGAACAAAAATGATGGCGATTGATTCCAGCGTGCTGTGCATGGCATGAGCGCTCCTTGGACGGCATGCAAAATCGTCCATTTAAGGCAAGGCGCGTGTAACACTGTAGACTTGTTGTGTGATCCAATGTTCTGATATGTACTAATCGCTTTGGGCGACTGATGCATACTATCCCTAGCCACGCACATGCCATGTTTGGAAACACTGAGTATGCTGGTGAACGCTTGTATTTTGCTTGACCAGAGACCGCAAACTTGCGATTAACGTGCGCCAAATCTGCTGCGAAATGGGCGGGACGTTCGATGTAGAAGTTAGCCTGGGTTAACCTCCTGTGGCGAGGCAACTCGTGGCTGTTTCTGGCTGCCTTGAAGCACAGGATTATGGAGCTTACGCGACTGCAGCACCATAATTGGAAACACTGACCCCAGCTTTCGTCACCTAGCTGTCTGCGTCACCTGGCAATCGCTTAATTTATATCTCATCCAGCAGCTACATTTGATGGAGCCAGTCCAACATGCTAACAGTCAAGGTCATGAAATGGGTAATAATCGCTGCGCGGTTCATATTATTGGCTCCGTGCTTCCGAACGGGCTCCAGAGCCAAATCCGGTCCGTTCAGTTCCAAGACCGGCGGACTGAGCTCTGGCATCCTACACCTACTAACAGCGCCCTTCCCGTCCCGGAGCTGATGTGGGTCCGCCGACACTCTACGCTTGAGGCCGGGCTAGCAGCGTACTCGTCCGGAGATGTCTTGCTGTTGACAGAGGGCGAGTACTGCTTAACTGGGGCACCCACACGGGCACCTGTGCGGCGTCGCTGGGATATGAAACAGCCATATCGGCTTAAGCTGGGCCAAGCTGCAACGGTGGAAGACACTGCCCGTACCCTGCCCGACGGCATTACCATCTTGGGTGTCGATCCTGCCAATCCACAAAAGGCAAGTACGAAATTGCCCAGCCTGTTGAAGGTCCCTGCGATTGGTGCCGCTGCTCGTGTCTGCAGCCTGTCTCCGACCCAGATCGTGTTAGCGCTGTTATCGCTGTTGGATTAGCTCTCCTATCAGCCGTGTCTAAACGCCGTCGTCCTCCTAGCATAATGAAAGCTGCGGTTCCCCACAATCTCCACCTAGTAATTTTTGGAACTTATCCGATCTGGGTCAGCCTCGCACGGCCCGCCTCAACGCGCCTACATATGCCTCCTTCATGTCCATGTGCGCAACGAAGCTTGTCCTGTCTTGTACTTGTCTTGTCGCCTGCGCCACGCACACATAAGACTGCCTCTAATCACTGACAAGGCGTCCGACGCCGTCGCATGTGATGCTGCTTTATGCCGCGTTTGATGTGACGTTTGTTGTGCACTTTTCCTTCGTGCGCATGCAGGTAGTTATTCGGCACCACGGCCTTATCTTCAGGAGCTCGGACACAGCAAATGTAGCTGGCGTGACGCTGGTGTGGTCTGGAGGCAACCACAACCGCAGCCGTACAGCTGCTGACAATGCCACCAACACCCAACCGACGGCCCAAGTCCAATCTACCGCGGAGAAGCTGCCGGTCGCTATTCGGGTCGGCTCTGGCAGACTCATACTGCGCTTCTGTCGTGTGGAGTGCGGAGGAGCTTCCCCGCCCGGAGGCGATGTTGGCAGCAGCAGCAGCAGCTGTGGCAATGCTGCAGCCGCCATCTGGGTCGGCCCCGGGTGCGGCTTGGACATAGCTAAGAGCTATTTTTTTGGCTCAGCAGAAACCGGCGTGAAGGTAAGCCGCAACGGCCTGAGGGGGCCTTAAATGAAGTCGAGAGGTGAGTGCAGGTCTCACTTAGGGAGTGGGAAGGTCGGTGGAATGGACGCCCAAGCGCGCCGGCCGACTGTTGTGTAGTAGTGCATTGGTAAATAATCTGATTACAGTTGTTACACAAAATGTGTATGTTGGAAGAGAGTTTACGTTTGCTGCGTAGACATGCATTTTACGCGAGCATGAATGAAGGGCAGATGGTGGTTTGACCCAGATGGTGGTTTGTTTATTCCAGAATGTTCTCCCTGGAAATGTTGGCCTCGTGGTTTAGCTTAGGCATGAAAGCCTTCCATGTTGATCCCGTTCATGACTGTCAGCTTCCTGCTGTGGCTCCCTAAAGCTTTTGATCCGTTCCCGTACCTTTCCGTGGGGCTGTCCATTTGCATTTCTGTCCAGCTGCTTCACTATGCACGTGCTCAGCGACGCACATGGCGCATGAGCTATCTCATCTCCAAACGCTACCCACCTCCAAACGCACGATGCGCCTCCAGTCTTATTTAAACTGCACTTACCAAGGCCCGTTCATGTCCACTGCCGTTGTGCAGCTCGCGCCTGGCTCCAAGGCCTGCATCATGGGCAGCCAGCTGGCCAACAGGGGTTCGGCTCTGGTCTGCATGGAGGCTGCCTCCACAGGCGCCGTCGGCGACAGGGCGCACGAGAGCGAGGGCAGTAGCAGCGGCAGCGAAGGCGGGGCGCACCCACCCGGAAACGCATCGCGTACCATTTTGCTTATCGGCAGGAATTGCAAGTTAGACATCAAGCCCGCCCGAAGCGGTAGCGGCGCTTGCGCTAATGCCCAAGCTCCAACTTCCCCCAGCGACGGCGGCGCCGCCGCGGCGGTGTCCTCCGTCAGTGCACCTGTCCATCTTGCACATGCACGCACAGGCGGGTGTGAGTGCAGTCCGTCGCCGGACGACCAGTCACTCTTGCTTTTAGCGGTTCAACGTGCCGGTGCTGGCGGCGGTGGCGGTATCAGCAGCGCCGCGCAACAAGCTGTGCATTGTCCCTCCCATAGCGCTGCCGACACAGAACGCGCGGGACTGCAGCCGCCGCCTCCGCCTCCTCCGAGTATCGCCGAAGCTTGGCGTCAGTGTGTGGCCTTCGTCATTCACCACAGCGCCCTGCCCACCAACGGCGCAGGGCCGCGAAGCAGCGGCATCGCCTTTGCCGAGTGCTGCGACTGCCGTCCTGCACTACATAATGTGACGGCGGCAGCGGTGACGCCTTCACCGGCGGCGGCGGCTGCTGCCTCCCAGAGCCCTGGTGATGGCAGCATGGGTGGGGGAACCCGGCTGGGCGCGCTGCGCAACGTCCAGCTGGTTCCCCTTCTCCCCAGTGCAGTGAACTGGCTGTCCTGGGGGCTCATGACTGGGGAGGCGCTGGAGCTGACGAAAGGCGCATGCGCTCGGCTCAACCGGGGAGTTTACCCGCTGATCCAAGCCGTGGCGGATGCAGCCAGGGCGGCAGCGCCATCGCCGCCACCTCCACCGCCGCCGCCGCCGCCACCGCTACCGCCTCCAGCGGCTGCAGCAGCTGCGGTGGAGATGGCTCCAAATAGACACGCGGCGTGCGGCGCGCTCCGCCAGGCCTCCGCCGCCGCAGCGCCGATGTCAACAGCAGCGGGTGCGTGCGAGCACTGGCTGCCGCCGCACTTGCGGTCGGCGTCCAGAGCGAAGCTTCATCCACCGCCACCACCACCGCCACCACCGCCGCCACCGCCGCCACCACCGCTGCAGCGCCTAATAGCATCCCGTATCGCACCACAGGCAGTGCCTCCGGCTGCGGCACCCAAGCAGCAGCAGGTGCCAGGCGTCCAGGACGGAGACCAACACGCGGCGCCCCAGCCGTTGATGCGTCCCCATGTGGGTCAGCTGGCCTCGTCGCCCAACAAACAGCCGCAGCTTCCCGAAGCCTTCAGGCAGCACGTTGATAGACCGGTGATGGTGGTGCGGTCACGAGCCGTGGATCCCATGGCCCCACAGCCCCTGGTGCCCCAGCCACCGACGACCCAGCCGACGGTACCGTCCTCGACTGTGGGCCCGTTGGTAGCGCCCGGGCCGGCCCGAGAGCCTCCGACGGCAACTTTTAGCCCTCCAGCCATTCCTCAATCGGCGTTCATGTCCGAACCCGCAGAGCCTCCGCCGCCACAGGTACCGCATCCAATGTCTGTGCCTCAGGCCACTTCTCATCCGCCGCCGCCAGTGCTACTGGGGGTTACAGCCTGTGTTGCACAGAGGACGGCGATGACAACCCAGTCATCACTGACCCCACCACCGCCAATGGTGATGCGGACAGTGGAGCTGGCGCAGCAGCAGATCCCTGCGGCGACGGCGGCGGCGACGGCAACGGCGACCGATGTTACAACCTGCACTGCCACCCGTTCGGTGATAACCAGCGATGGCTGTCAGCCCGCAACGGCGGTTGCAAACCCCAATATGGACGCCGAACTCGACCGACCTTGTGATGCCGCTGCCGTCGCCACCACGCCTCCGCGTACAGCACCCTCCGCAATTGCGTCCGCCGCCGCTGCGGACCGTGGCAGCCATAAGGAGCAGGTAGCGAATCACACGCCCGCCGTCAAGCCGGCCTTTGGCGGCGAGCCCGCTACGGCCAGTATGGCCCTGACCACGTCTTGGGACGGTTCAGGGCAGCACAAGGTGGTGCTGACCCGTCCCGACCACCCGTCGGAGGAGCGTTTGAGGACCTCCAAGAGCAACGCAGGCGGCAGCAGCGGCGCCAACGGTAGCAGCACTGCCGCTGGCTGGTTAAGTCCGGCGCCCTTCAGCCCATACGACTTCCGCGACAGCAGCATCCGCCGCGGCGGTGCCAGGAAGAAGTCATCCCTCACGACGCAACCAGCGACAGCTGCATTGGCGGGCAACGACAAAAGCCGGGCGGAGAGCCGGATGGGACCGTCTGCTGTCCTGGTGATGCAAGAATGTCGTCATAGGGAGGAAAAGCCCGCAGCGGCAAACGCGCCGACCCCCGTCCCCACGGGGAGGCGCATCCAATCTGAACAACCTCAGCCGCTGCCGATGCCAGAGGCGGCCCTAACCAACCCTTCCGGGGACCCTCAGCGCCAGCTACCGCGTGGAGAAATTGCAGAAGGTGGAGAAAGTGTGGGGAAAGAGGAGAGCTCCTGTGTTACAGCCGCCGATGGCGTGGTGGCCGAGCCGCTGCACACCGCTTTGGACCTCGCGACAGGGCGCGGGGCGGTGGCCGCCCCATGTACTGCTCTAGCAGCCGCAGCCTCTGGAAGAGAAATGGCGCCGCAAGCTCCCGCCACAGGTGGAGGTCCCTCGGACGGCAGCCAGTTTGACGTAACCAACAGCACCTTGCAAATGCTGTTGGAATGCCTGGGATCAGAGGCGCGCTCGGCGGCGCGTGACGTCGCCATGAAAGACGGCCGGAGCCCCGGCACAGCTCCTACGCCTGAGCGCCAAGGACTGTTGCAGCTGCCGTCGGGCGCGTCAGAGCAAGGTTCGCAACAGCGGCAGCGGCATACTGGTGTCGACGGGGTGGCCCAGCAGCTGTTTCAGGCCCATGAATCAGCTGATAACTCCCACATGCCGCCACCGTCGGCTTCGCAGGAGCAGGAGCGGCAAGAGGAGGAGCTTCAATTGTCTCCTGCGCCACCGTCGCAGCCGCAGCAGTCGCAGTCTCGGCTGCCACTTTCGCCATTGCAGCAGCTGCCGCATGCCGGAAACCCCCCTCCCTTATCAGTCTCGGCTTCAGCAATTGCAGGCGATGCAGCATGCGCTGGTGAGAACGTTCGGGTTGGGGCACCGATACCCACTGCACCTGCACCCGAGCTTCCGCCAGGCTCGGCTGATACACCTGTTGCTATCTCTGCGGTCCCACGCCACGACTGCTGCAGCAACCAAGACGCGCCGCCATCTCAATCTCATCCGCCTCGGTTTCCGGCTGCAGCCCTGGCTGCGGCAATAGCAGCGGCTGCGGGTCCTACAAGCCAGGCCCCTAACCCCCCTACGAGCGCCCCAGGAGCTCTTAAATCTGCAGCCCCAGCTACCGCAGCACATCCACCGGGGCCATACTGCATCTCCCCCTTTGCCGCTGCAAGCATGGAAGAGCCGGAGGCCCCTTGGCCCAGCGGCAGCAATACGGGGCCTCCGGCAGCATCCCAGGGGGACACCGAAAGGGCGCACTTCGATCGGGTGGACTCCTGCGAGGTCGGCGGTCTGGACCTGGCAGGTGTCCTGAACATGGAGGTCATGGGGGACGGAAACGCGGCCGCCGCTGACGACGCTGTGCTGTCCGCCTACCTGGCTTTCCAAGGCAGCGGTAGCAGCAGCTGCAGCGACGACGACTGCACCTGGATGTCCTCTGTTGCTGACGGCTGCTTGTGGCCGCTTGACCGAGCTGTCACACCCCCTGCGGGTTGCGTGGTTAGGGAGGATCGCGCTGTGGGCGAGTGCTCCTTACAACTCGGCGGTGGCTTCGCTGTAAGTTCGTCCCCCTGCTGGCAAGCCACGGCGACCTACAAGCGCCCGCAGTCCCAGCCGCAACCGCAGCCCTGCAGCACCCCGCTGCAAGGCATCTCCATAACGACCGTGGGCACCTCGGCCTGCACGAATGGCACGGAGTACGGTTCTGCGCCTTCCTCCTTTGCAATTCCAGGGGTAGCTATAGCGGCAGCTGTGGCGGCAGCTGCACCCATGACAGGGCTGCTCACGTGCCTTCCGAGGCTCCCACTCGAGCAGCACCTGGCCTTACTGCCGCACTGGCACCCGCACCACTGCCTCAGCCGCTACCAGTCTGCTCTGAGGAGCCACGTGTCCCGGCCATTCGCCGCCATCTGGGAGCCGCAGCCGGTGACCATGATCCCCGTTACAAACTGCCTGCCCGGGCCGAAATCGCTGATGACCGGTGTTAGTAAAGACACAGAGGGCGTCGAAGGTGGCGCTGGTGCCGGGGCGTCTGCAGCAGCATCTCAGCCGCCGCAGGTGCAGCTATCGTCCCAGGACCAACCGGCACACACCCCAGACCCCAGCATCGCGAAGCGATCCCCAGTCCCTGCCGACGGAGCCGGGGCCGGATGGAAGCACGCGAGCTCAAAAATGCCGCCGCCGGAAGCGTTGTCCGGTGGTCCAGACATAAAAGACGCAGCGTTCGAGCCGTCCGTCGTCCAACAGGCACCTGACATTTCACTCCGCGCGTGCAGCCGGCAGGGCGGAGGAGAAAGTCCAGCAGGAGGGCAGGAGCTGCGGCAGGGACAGAGGCCGGGGCCGCAGGCGTCTCAGCAGCACCACAACAAACAGGAGCAGAACCCTGAGGCGGTGGAGGAGCAGCCGGGACGCCAGAGGCCAGCGATTAAGCTTTTGCTGCCACGGGCGCACCGCAGTGCCGCGCGGGCAGAGCCACACCGCGAGCTGTACGATGCTAACCAGACGAGCACCGCCGCTGGAGCATCCACGGCAGCCCCGGCACGTTCGACAGACACCGCGGCTGGCGCCGACGGGCCCATGGAGACAACCACCGCGAGGTCACCTGCCGCCAATGTCGGCGCCGTCGGGATCTGCATTGCAAACAGCTGCAGCGGTGGTGGCGCCGCAGCCGTGGCGACTGCGCGCGGAGAGCCCAGGACAAAGGCCAAGCCAAAGACAAAAGCCAAGGCCACGCGCAGGCGAAAGACCAACACGACTGATAGCAGTGACAGCGAAACGGTCGACGCAGGCAGCCGCCTTTTCCGCGGCGGCGGCCGTTGCGCGCCGGTGCGGAACGGCAAAGTTGCGGCCAATAGCGTTTGTGCTGCTGCTGGCCCCAGTGCTGCTGGCCCGGGCGCAGGATCAACCGACTCGAGAGGTGGCGGCGCTGTCAAAGGCGGTCGCCGGCGCCGCAGAGCAGAGACAGCGATCACCAGCAGCAGCTCGGATGACGACGAGATGTTGGCCCGCTACCGCCGCAAGCTGGCTCGCCAGCAGGGCCCATCGGAGACCGCCCCGGCCGCAGCGGCCCTGCCACCGCCGCCACACCCGGCTGACTCCGCGGTGGTATTCGCTGACTCCGGTCCAAGGAGGAACTTCTCTTCAGCCGCCGCTGCCGCTGCCGTCGGCGCGGCTCCTGGTGGTGATGGCGTCGGCAGCCGTCAGGTTCCGTCCCGAGAAGTAAAGGGGGTTACCGCGGGGATTCAAGGCGGCCGTGAGCAGCACGATGTCGACGGCAATAATCAGCGGAGCCGTAAGCGGGCTCGTGGAGGCGGCGGCCTGCCGGTGACGGAATTGTACGATGCTTGCAGGGCCACGCCGCGCCAGCGACGTGGACCGGGACACACTGCAACCGCGACGGCGGCGACGGTCGAGGCGGGTATTGGCTTCACGAGTGTGACGGGGCCCGGCAGCCCTGCGGCGAAAAGAGAAACTGGCGCCAATCTGGGGCCGTTCCTCAAGGCTGCGTATTCGTGTGCCGTCGGGCTGCGACCGCCCACTGGTACGCCGACTACGACTATGGTGGCTACTGACGTATCAGGTGCTGGTCGTAGCATTTTGCTTGGCGAAGACGCCAAAACTTCAGCGCAGCAGCCACGTGCTCCGCTTCAGCCTTGGCCTTTAGAACAAAATCAACATCCGTCACTGCCGCAAGCGCAATAGCAGCGGCAGCCGCAACAACAACAACGACAACAACCGCCAGAACGCGATTTCCGGTTGCGCGGCTTTCTGTCCTCCGTGACCCCCTTAGATGGACCCAGCGCGGAGGGTCTATCCGTCACAATCGCGGGCCTGCGCCAGCAGGCGGTGAAGCTGGAAGCGGCGGAAGCGGCGGCGGTGAAGCCTTTGAGCGAATACGGGCTTCCAGACGTAGCAGGACGAGGACTCAGCAGGTGGAGCAGCAATAGCAGGGTTGTGTACGCGGGAGGAAAGGAGAAGGAAAGCGGGGTTGAGATGGGATAGAAAGGGATAACCGAGGGAGGATCCCTTGCTCACGGATATTGCATTACCAGAAGAAGTTTGCAAGGGGAGGGCGCAGGGCGAGATCAGGTGGAGTGCGGGTGTTTGCAATAAAGTGGATTTTGCTGTAACGCCTGGCTCGCGTAAATGTACTGTCCGTCTGCCATTTCACTGTTGCGTGTGCAGTGCGCACATGATGCTGCATGGCTTTACGATGTCCTGGCACTGCCTAAAAGCGCAGTGTTAATAATAATGGCTGTAGTATATAAAAGTGGTTCGAAGGAAGAGTGGGGGATGTAAGACGGCCCGTGTTCTGTGCACACCTGCGTATGGGCGTATGGACGTTTTTTTCTGTTTAGCACCTTTCCGCAGGATGTGAGCTACGCGCGTGCGCCCGCATTCCGTTCGAAGGAAGCCCCTCTGTCCGCTTTGGACAGCCATGAAAAATGAATCCCTGAGCACTGTTTTAGATTTCTTGTGTGTGCTTGCGGGTGATGGTATTTTTCTGTAAGTGTTACCTGCCAACTTCCGTTGGGAGGGTATGATGGTACTGTATGTTACGTATGTTACTGTTATGCAGGCAGGATGTGGCTTTGGCAGGATGTGTGGCCGGACATGTTCGTTCCGCGTCCCCCGGTTGTAGTCTTTCTGGGGCCAAGGGGGAGCGCAATGCGTCGTGCCTACAAGGTGGAAGGATCTCATTTATGGAAAAGGAGTTGCGTGCCGTGCGTGCGGGCGTATGCTTTTTTCCTTATAGACAGAGGCTTTTTTTACTGCTGTATCAATGTGCAGTTTACGAGTTTAGGGCTCTAGCGGAAGCAGCAGCTGTACGAAACCATCCTGGCGATGGCTGCAAAGGACGACAACAAAGCTAAGAACGATGTTAAAAGAATAGAGGCCCTTGTTATGGGTTGCGGTGAGTGATGGATGTCTTTTCCCCACCTGTTCCCCATCTATCCACTGCCCGTGCGCTTGCTCCCCGTCACCGCCATTCAATTCCTTTACGTTACCACTGACCGTTGTCCTGCCCTCTGTTCAGCAGATGCCAAAGCTAGGCAGCCCATGGCATCCTGGCTGGCTAATAGGAGTTTATGTCGTTCAGGAGTTTCGAACAGTCGTGCAAATTATCCCGTACGTGTATACGAATCATTATTTGGCGGATGGTCTTCAGGACGTGTAGTATCATGCAACTGCTGTTGTCGTGGACAAGGCAGGACAGCGCGTTCGGTAGCTGTTTGGATTTACCTGTTTGTTGTTTCCACGGGTAGGTAGTAGTTTAACCCCTATTGTATGATAATCGTCTTGGGTTGTGGCTGTGCGCAGTTCTAGTTTGATCCGTGGCGTGTAGCCCTGCGGCTGCACGGTACATATTGATTTTGCACACTTCTACGGTAGTGTGATGACGTCTTGCTGAAGTCATGCATTCATACGCACCTGGCTCAGGGCTTCTTCGAGTATCCGTGTTATCCCGGGAAACGTAGCGGGGCTAACGATTGGGAAATGTAGGTGCGCGTATAGGAATTTGCAACGTGGCAAGGTGACAACTGCGAGGGCCAGTCGTAAGTGTTCCGATCATGCATTGTAGAACAAATCGGTTAAGTCTGTACTTGCTGTAACGTGGCGTCCACATTTGGAAGGCGCAGTCAACAATCAGAGAATTGGACATTTGTTACAGCAAGCATACCTATCCCAGGACACATGCAAAGAGACCAGCTTACGTGACACGAATACAGTAGCAGTAGCAAGAGGGCAAACCAAGCCCAGTATAGTTGATTACGACACCTTCTCAAGCACATGCATGAAATCCTACCCTAGTTTAATTGAATGGATCGAAGCACGATGATGACAATGGCATGAAATGTTGTCAGTGCGAAGGAAAAAAGTTATAGTAGCCATCAGAACGCGCGCATAAGTACAGATTGGCTGACACGCTTGCACAACCCGCACACGCGTGGGCATGCAAGGCGGCGTATCCGATCTGTGGTCAATGGTCAGCAAGTGTCATTGTCCGTTCTTCATATCACCCATAGTATAAAGGCTCGCCACGCAGGGTGCTGTTGCTTAAAAGAGTCGCAACTCTCCCGCAAACTCCTAACGTCCACTTGCTACGCGCAGCTCCGTACTCCGCTCGGAATCACAACCAAGCCAAGTCGGCGGTCGAGCCCACAGCTCGCACCACGTTGCACCTCCTTAAAATGGGTAAGGGGAATCCACCAAAAGCATCAACCCGCTGACTTTGACAAACCTCCGTAGTCACCGCAACACACGAATTGGTTTTCTATAAATCATTGACACACAAACGTTTATGCAATTGCGAGTTCTCCCACTAATCGCAAGACCACACACCAGGCCATGACGAACCACATTCTTAGTCGATCCTCCTATTGCAGTCAACTGCGAATCGGCAGCAAGAAGCAACGCTCAAGAAGCCCACAAACATGGCGTGCAGAAATGATCACGCGTCAAGCCACGTCCGTTGAGCCCGCCCACCCCTCAAAACCTCTGAAGATATATTGGTATGAACGTTGATATCCATATCCTATTTTACGTCAAACGTGAACATGCATGGCCAGCGGTAATTCCACGCAAGTCCAAGCCCCGCCCCGGCCTAATAGGTCGGAACCCTGTACAAACGAGAGGCACGGACCTACGGCACGACAGGTTCCTAAGGCTCCCAAATAGCTGCACACTTCGAGCACACATCTACGAAGCAACGCACACGCCGGGGCGGCAATCCAGCGTCCCGATTTATAAACACTACTGCGATTTTACGTGTCGCAGACTCCGCATTCACTGAATGCTTCCATAGCCCTTAAAAGCTACGGTACCTCCGGCTTTCGACCTGTCCAAGGTAACGCCCGTCACTGCCCCACCGGCTGACGCGCCTCAAAAGCTGGCTGGGCGCAATGTCGAACAAGAGCCGAGCAACGCGCAAAAATCCGCTGTATGCTCCTTGGTACACATGACGTGCAGGCAAGAATATGACATGCTACCACTGCGCTGAACGGAACTCCCGGGTTGATATCCGCAACAGAGACAGTGGCTCACACATCGTACTCCCCTTTTCCCCATTCCCCACTCTCGATCAGAGCTATCTCACTGCCCGGATTACTGATCCCCAAGCACTGCCCGCTAGCAATCTATGATCAGGTGGCGCGGTCTCCCCTTCAGCGGCGAAACCCACCGTGACCACTCGGGTATCGCGTCTATCGCGATTCCTCATTCGCCATATGCACATGTTCGTGTATGCCGTGCTTCGCCTTTGTCTGTTCATGGGCACCTACCTTGCAGATCAAAATATTCGCAATCACAAGGGTCAGGTGCTATTTCCAGCCGCATGCAGCAATGGTCACGGAGTATGTCTAAAAAGCTATTGATGGGACTTCACTCACCTAGGAACATCTGTACAAACCGTTCATTGAACCCGGCGTCACCCTGCGGCCTTCTAGCTTGGCCTTCGGTGTGGCACGACATAGGCACATCCTAGAGCTCATCCTCGCCGCGTTTTTGAGCTACTAACTCCCGCGATGTCTCCACGCACATATATAGACAAGGGTATTGGTATTGCTCTGTGACAGAAATATTCTATCCAGTGGTGAGCTTCCTGAACCCAGACACACGCATACATCCGTACCAAATCCAACCACTTTGAACGTCGCACAGTCAGTCAACGACCATCGAGTACTGAACCTATACACACCTATAGACAAATACGCTGCAGCTCATCGGAACATTCATCTGCAGGAAAAGCTCAGTCTAGGAAATAAGAGCGCCCGCACGCCCCCCGCATGCGGGTCTGTTCTTCACCACCCAATACAAGCTGCCCCGCCACCTGCTCAAGGCACCTTAATCCTTTGCTAAGAATCCCGCCCACCGCTGCTGGTCCAAGCATACTCTGCGCCTCAGCCTTTCCTTCACCCACCAGACGCTTCAGCCGCTGCAACATCTGCCCGCTCTACATCTGCCCGCTCTCCTTCAGTATTGTGCTGATCTCCTGTACGCTCCACTCATTAGCGCTCGCCCGCCTGGGCCCGTGCCAGCGCCGGAACTGGAACTCAGTTTTGCTGATGAGCAGCCCAACCGGGACGGCTCCCGAGTGCTGGAGGCCTTTGCCCGTGACGCTGCTGTGCCTCGCATGTAGCTAGGCCTTTCGCCGGCTTGGTCATCAAAAGGGGCAGCCTCCATGGACCCCACAGATATGTTGCTATTGCTGCTGCTGGAGCTGATGCTTGGCCTTGGGCTTGGACTTGGGCTCGAGGTCTTACTTGAGCTGGAGGAGCTGCTGGCTGGGGCGCCCCGTCGCCGTGGCGCCTGTTGGGCAAAGCCGAGGCGGCGGCTAGAGGCGGCGGAGGGCGAGGGGGGAAGGTGGGGGTCCTTGCGAGGCGGCCCCTGCCCCAGCTTGGGCGACACGGCGGCTGCTATGAGGACGGCAAGTTTAGCCGTATCTTTTTCAAACGCCGAGGCGGAAGGCGAAATCAGGGGGAAGGGTGCTGGGGATGGCGGCGCGGGGGAAGGAGGCGTGGTGGACGGTGGAGCGGGGGAGGAAGCTGGGGAGAAGGTCGGGACGGAGGAGGGGGTCGGGGGTGAAGGGGTGGAGATAGGAGAGGGGGCGGGGGAGGAGGGCGACAGCAAAGGCACCAGGGGAACCGGTATTGGCAGCGCCAGAGGCTGCGGCTTCGACTGGTACTGCTCCACAGGAGGAGATCTTTGGGTGACTGCCGCTGGTGGGTGATGAAGTTGAGTGACCGGGAGGGGAGGGAGCGATGTGGGAGGGGATGCTGGCGATGCACTTGGCCGTGGCGCGGGCAGCAGAAAGGGCGTTGTCACCATCGGAGAAGCTCCCCCAAGGGAAACGGTGGTAAGCCTGGTACGGGCTAACGAGACCAGAGGTGTAGAGGTGGAGGATGCCGCAAGTGCGCTGGTGCTGCGACGGTGCCGACGGCGACAAAGGGTGCATTCGTAGCACGAGGGCTCATAGACATCGTTGGAGTGGACCTCATAGCAGCCTTGCAAAACCCCACACCGCTCTGCACATACGTGCATGCAGTCTGTGTCCGACACATCATACAGGATATTGTCATGAAAGGTGGACGGCTCCGGATGCGCCACGGGTTGGACAGCCATCTGAGAGGAAGAGTATCAAAAAGTGACACTTGTCAGGGTACTGGAAACGAGGCAAGATGGTGCTCAAGAGCAAACCCATTCCACTTGACAAATTGCATTGGACGAGACATCACGTCAGGAAGCCCTTCTCCCGTGACGGCTAGCGCTAGCACTTTAGCAGGTCCGGAACTGAAGCGCACTTCCCGACGTAACCAATGGGAATTGAGCATACACAAGTAATACCTGTTCCGATTGCGTGTCCTCCTCATGATGATGTCCTTTCCTAAGCCCGGAACGACTTCTTTGGTACAGGTCAGAGGCAAAACTGCAGACGCCCAACGCACACATAGGTTCATGAAGGCGTCAAAGTTTTGCAAAATTTCTGTCGGGGGAAAGTCACAACAAACCGATTGCCAGGACGCACCTTGCCAATGACGACAGGGATAGAAGCCAAACGCCAGTTATCAGAATGAAAGGCATTGTTATGCAGTAAAGGATTACCAAAGCCGCAATCGCAGCCCACACGCGTATAGAGCTCTGTGCTGAGTACTTGGTGGCCTTTACCCCTAAGGCAGCCGGCAGAGTGAACATTTCGCTACTCATGGTTGCTTGTAGTATAACTAAAACAAGATCAATATTTCATATCTGCCCTTATGCTTGAGGAGGCGCAGTGGCCTTCTGTTGCGTGCTACTGTCATTGCCGCGGACGACCAACGGCAGCGTGTCTAAACGAGAAATAACGTAGTGTCGCATAACCTGAAAACAATGGAGCGTGTCGAGGTGTAATTTTTTCTCGGCACTACCGGCCTGATTGACCAAAAACGTACGGCGCCTGCAACTCGTTTAACGTCCGCGAGGCCCTCCGCGACATTTTTTGCAGAAATAATAGCCAAAAATATCATATTCATGGTAGCCCATACTGACCACTCAAGGGCGCGCAGTATCCCAGATTCCATTAGGTCATAGCATAAGAATAACCCAACACCCTAAGCCTAGGGCTCAAGTGTTTCCTACCAACTGTTAGGTTTGCAGCAGACTCAAACGATTACGGAAAGCCCTTAGGCTACTTAGCCTCTTCATCAACCCCCCCGGGGTATCGTTTTCCGGCGCCCAACCAAGCCGCCTTAAAGCCATGCAAACCGCTGAAAGCTTTTACCTTGGCTTTACCTTCACTTTCACTCGGACCGGGTTCTGGCACCCATGAAGATCATATTATTGCGCGCTTGCACACGCAGGTACCTTAACCGGTATCGGGTTTATCGTCCCGCGAACGGCTCCGTATAGGCCACAGGGCTCCCAACCCCCTCCCAAGGTCGTGCATGGCCCCACTTCCAGCGCACAGTACTTCCTCGCCCTTAGGGTTTTCACTCAATGCCTCCGCTTTCTCTCCTCCCTGGAGAAGTAGCGCATCAATCCCTTGCAGGCAAGCCATCCACACAATATTTTCCCCCAATCGCCGATACCCAATTCCCCGCAAAGATTTATTTATCACACAAAAGGTACATATGTACATGCACGCGTGTACGTTTCCCTCGCACCCAATCATTGGCACCTCCAGGGACCGACATTTCCCCACGCGCTAACCTTCACCGACCCACCCATCTCGCCACCGCTCCCCAGCACATCATCCATCCTCCCTCCACCCCGCAAGCCCCCTAGAAACTCATACTCGTTCGCAATTATGATGACGACGATGGCCCTGGACCGCCGCTGCTAGCTGCTGCTGCCCCCGGCACCACTGCCTCCATTTCCATGCGCACAGTGGCATGCGCGTCCAAATACAGCTGTCTGGCTGCATCCCTCAGGTTCCCTGGCAACCAGCCGGCCGCCAGGGCGCGCTCCAACCGCTCTACCAACGAAGACTGCAAGGACGGGAGGGGTTTAGGAAGGGGCAAAAGGGTGTTAGCTTCCCCGAAGCTTGGAGACGGCGGAGTTGTCCGGGGGCAGGCAGGGACTGGAAGCCGCGTTAAGATTCGTCGGCGCCAGGGCGCTATGAAATAGTGCGGGGGACTGGCCATGTACCGCTCAGCCGTGTGTAAAGGGAAGGGCGGGACACATCAGGCTGGGGGTTCTGGGATTGAGGGATCTATTTAGGCTGAGTGACATGGAAAGAGGTGCTGCGAGTCCGAATGAATCCTACATGGGCGAAACATGAAGAATGACCGTATGCACACAAAAACACAAGTATAGCTGTCCCCAACTGCCCAGCCAGCTAAGCCTGGCAGCCCGCCACCCACCATGAGAAGGGCCTCGCGAGTGCTCCGAAACCCCATCAAGTGATGTGCGGTAGACAGGAACTCCTTGAGCACCACTGGGGAGGTGCAAGAGAAAAAAGGGAGAGGAAGAAGGGGGAAGACACAGATTTGAGCATGTTGCTGTACGCCGGGGGTTCTATCGTACTCATTTGTTGGCTTAAGGTAGTACTAAAAAAGGTGCACAATGTCCTTTCCCCCCAACGGAAGGCTAACCGAGAACAGCATGTCAAGTGACCCGGTACATGCATTTCTACAAAGACATGCCAGGGTGTGGATGTCTTTGGAGGAGGTGCGAAGCAAGAGATAAGACGGCGACATGTCACGCGTGGTAAACCACAACCTCACCCGTTCACCCTTTCAACTTGTGCCGCTCTGGCATCCAGCAACAAACAAGAGCCTCCTCTTTCGTCTTCGGCCATTCGTATTCCTTGGCCCCCTGCCTCCCTCATTCCATTACTTCCAGCCGTTTTACCCGTTCACCTAGGGAAACCCCAAAACGTCCTGCGCAAAACCGTGTGGGTCCCCAAGCCGCCCGTTCGCACTACATGTTCCGGTCCGGGAGCCGAATTTCCCCACCCCCCCGTTTTGAGGCCTCACCCGCAGCATCCCACAAGCCCGCGGCCGTCCTGTCCGTATCACGTCATCATTTACCCAGCGGCAGACGCCTTCACCCTTTCCCCCCTCTCCTCATCCCTCCCCATGCATCTTCCCCCTCTCGCCAACCCCATCGCGCACGACGCACAATGACATGCATCGAACAAACTTGTCCTTCCTCCCAAATCCTCCAAAATTTCCATCACGGGGCTAAATTTACATAGCATCGCTTGCCTTAGAAACTCCTATGCATGGAGGTTACTGTTTCAACTATCCCCACTTGCCCTTACCTTGGCAAGGCTCCTTTCGGCACATGCACCTCCGTCCGAAAACCACACACATACATACATACACACAGAGACATGTAGGAAAAACGCGCATAGAGACGCCGCTGTCTGACGCTGTCCAGCACCACCCCGCAACGGCCCCGCTCTCACCTTTTCCATCCTCCTGCTATTTCAATCCCATAGCTGCCTCTCCCTTCTCCCTCCCCTCTCTTCCCCGCTCCCCATTCCCCTCACCCACCCTCTGTAGCTCCCTCGGTAAACACAGCCATCAGAATCCCTACTCCATCTTCTTCCTCAAATTTCGTCGCCAGGTACTCAGAGGCCACCATCGACCGAATTCGCTTCAGCGTCAGGACTACTGTTTGGGGGCGGTCCGCCTGACAGTGCGGCCAAATGGGGCAGCAGGCCAAAAAGAAGTGTCATCGTGGAGGCTGACAGGCCGCGGGAGTGGCATGAACGGAAACGAGAGCGACAAGCGAAGCCCAAGAACGAGGATCACAAAACCGGAACGGGCAGTTGGGATAGGGCGGTTGCGGCAGGGATTGGGGATGTATTGCTTGACGGCCGGCGGGAGAGAGAAATGATGTAAGGGAGATTTTTCCAGGGTTGAACGGGGCAAGGTGAGGAACGAATAGGAAAAGGAGGAGGGGCAGGGGATTGGTGCCCCATTTGACGCCTATATCCCCACAACCTACAGATCCACAATCGTCCTGCTAGTCTTCTGCATCGGGTTACTTCCCAAGAAATGACCCTTCCCGATGCCCTTTCTTTGAGTCTCCAGTCTAGTGCACGCCGCTGCTCCCCGATGCTCGGGGGACTGGCCCGGGACGTCAGCAGGGACGTCAGCAGCAGCAGCAGCAGCACCAGCCAGGTGGGCAGCAGCAGGCGCCAGTAGAACCAGCGGCAAAGGAAGTGAGGAAGGAGAAGCTGCCGTACCACCGCTGACGCCGAACAGTGCCCGGGTGAAGGTTCCTAACCATGGCACGGATCGGTTGGGAGATGAGTATATCCCGAGCGATGGAAGCCGTCCTGCCCGCACGCCTTACGGTTCGCTTGGCGACGCAGCTGCCATGCGCGGCAACGGATGTCAAACGAGGGCGCTCTTTGGCTGACTTCGTGCGTGAGGCGACAGAACCCCGGGATTCCCGGGCCGCCACCGCCCCCGGCAGAAATCGGCCTATGGTGCCCTCTCCTCCCGCATATACATCAGCCTGCTCCCTCGTATACATCAGCCGCCAGCTGCGTTTCCTCGCGCTCTTGCTTCTTTGGCGGTCGTTTCCTCGGCAGCTGGCTGGCTTGTGCAAGAAGGGCTTGGTACCGCCATTTCGGCGTTTTAAGAACAGAAGCTCCTATGAAAACGGATTTCACGTGGCGCCTGAGCGATCTCTAGTAATTTCACAAGTTCTCAAAAATGCTGCACATCAGAAAACAGTAATCTAAGGTCTCCGGATTGATCCCTGTCCGGTGTCTGCTGGGAGGACGAAAGCCCGAAAACAAAGAGACCTTGTGGTGGCACCCGCGAGCCACCACCGGGTCCCGTTCTCCGTTGTCCCACTGCCTTGCCCCCAGCATGCAACCAGCTGGCACGGGACCCAAAGCGCTGTGGTTGCCGAGGGGGTGGAGGTTCCCTGGGGCTGCCGATCAGCCCATACATGCACCACTTCTGCGAGTGCTCGGTCATGCAAGCCGTGTCGGAGTGCATCGACCGGCACCTGCAACCCTCTCAGGCAGGTTACCCGCAAGCAGTTCTGGCTGGTGCAGGGGGCCCCCGGGCTGATGATAGGGCCCTCTGGAACGTGGTCGACCGAGTAGCCCTATCCGCCACGGGTAGGCACTAGGCAGACGCTGCATGGATGCGGCCGAAAGGAGGCGGGAACGTGCAGCGGGACAAGCTTTATAACAGCTGGGGCATCATACCAAGTGCCGGCGCAGGGGCCCCGACAGCGGCGGATAACGGACTTCTTCCCCCAGACCGACGGGGCGGGACCACAGGAGGGACCAGCTCTGGACACATCGGGGTACGCGGTCCGTACGCAGGGACCCAACACAGCGTCAGGGATGGCAACAGCGTCGGATCACCAACCCCCCTGACGTCCCGCAATGGTGGCTTTTGGGGCGTGTTTGTGACCATGTACGGCGCTGAACGTCACATAGAGGATTGGGGACAGGGTGGGACTCAACCAACCGGTCCTGTCGGTCGCAAGGGCCAGTGGCGAGGGTCGCGGCGAGGAGAGGAGAGGGTGGAGGTGGGGCTCGGATGGAAAAAGGGGGAAAGGTGCATGTCCTTAAGGAGAGGGGACGTGGAGAGCGCCTGGCGGGTGGATAGAGGAAGGATTGGGAGGGAGATGGGGAAGACGAACCACGAGCGAGTGAAGCCGATGGCAAGGAAAGACTGATGCGCCAGAAGTTAAGAAAGCGTAACTAACCAGTTGGCGGTTGCGAAGAAGTCCTCGCGATGATGTGGTCATGACGATAGCAACTACCTACCTAGCCGAGATTAAAATAAAGTGCGGAAAGAGAGCAGGAAAAGCAGCTGGGAGGGAGAGGGGGACAGGGATGCTGTCGGGAGGGTAGGGGACGCGGCAGCGACAAGATCACGCAGGTTTGGGGATGAGTCAGGCCCAGGCGGGGCCGTACCACCAAGTAGGACATTCACGCTACAGGACTGGGCTCTCTTGCGAGGGTCGAGAATGTGGGGCTTTTGCCAGGTGGCCCGGAGCGAGTGGGTTCTTGGGAGCCAGCCACAACTATTTGGTAATGTGCCGCACCACGCCGCGCTGCGACGCCTACTTTCCTGTACGCCGGGTATAGGTATCGACATTTTCCCATTCAAGGTTTCTCCTGTCTAGCCCACGTGTCCCGGCGATGTGTGGTCCGGCGCGTCGTTTCCCTTTTCCGGGTTGCTATCTCCCCCCAGTACTAGATTAGGTTAAAAGATGGTGGAAATGGTTGGTAGGTTTGTGGCTAGCAGGAGGGCAGGTTTAGACTGCCTTCACTGACAAGACATACAGACGGACAGACATAGAGCAGAGCCCGCCCGAACACGAATTAGCAAGGCACACGATGGCGCGAACTGTCGACAGACAGGTACACAAAGGTAAATCACCTGCTGTGGTGCCCGGTGACTCCTAGGGTACCCACTTAGGAATGCTAACAAAAGGGAATGCCTCTGCTAGTTGCTTTGGGGTCTGAACAGCACACGAATGCGGGTGTTCCGTGTGCTGTAGTACGCACCTGCTTTGGCCACCGGCCTACGCAGTACTGGGGACAAGCGGCATGCGCCCGTGTGCTCTGATGGCGTGGTTAAGCGGCGTCTTGTGGTTTGCTTGAGCCCTCTGAGCCTTTACCTTGGAGGTTTGCCTGTTTTTTTCTTACTACCTACCTGTCCTACCCTGTCCCGGCACGCCGCGGCTAGCTGCTGCCGGTCGCCTCAGTCCGCGTGGATGTCTAGGGGTTCTGTTTCGCAATAGGTTTGTCCGAGAGCTCTTTCCTGCAGGTAGCTCTTCACCGTTTCCCGGAGGCATTGCTGAGTGACTGCGTCACGTCTCGCAGCCTGAGCTGGGAGCGGCATGCACACGAACGACTTGCTGTTTGCACCCGGCCCCCTTGCGCTGTGTTTCGGCCTGGAGTGCCCCGCTGCCCAGCCCACAACGTAACGTAACGCATGTCATGCGTACGTATACACATACCATAGTATCCTGAACTCTCGGGTCCTATGGTCGGTCCGGGCCCACAAGGCCCCGCACGTCGCCTTACCTCGAGCCCTCGAATGCATAAAGACATCATCAGGCTGTGGCTCAACATGTGAACTGCAATGTAGTGAAAGCGGGTCGAACAGGTGACGTGTGGCGTGGAGTACCAGGCGGGGTTTGTCCGGTGGAGAGGCAGCGGCGCGGTTGCGCGTGGTCAATGGTGGTAAATTAATGAACGTAGGTGAACGGAGACGGATCGAGTAACTGGAGGAAAGCATCAAACGGCCGCAGCACGCGAGTCGACAGAATGATCGGACACACATTCGCGTTTTGCACTTCTCTACTCGGCACCCCTCCCACGCAACCCCCTCCCTCTTCCACCTCCTACCTCCAAGCGGAATGGTGATGAGCATCACAGCTGCCTTGAGCAATGTCCCAGAGAACCTTTCTGCGTTCTTGCTCAGAGCAGTAAAGGCGTCTTCCTTTCCCCGGGCAGCCCGACGCTCCGCTGCTCGGGCCTCGCGACTGGCCGCCAGTGCCGCAGCTGCCGCTGTGGACGGAGCCAGCCCTTGGAGGCGCGCGGTGGCAGTAGACGTGGGTTGCATGGTGGCATTGTTGGAAGGGGAAGGGGATGTTGAGTTTGCGGACCCGACGGGGAAGAGGATCCTACGCAACGAGGAACCAAGTGAGCTGTCCGCGCCGGGCTTAGGAGAGGCCTCGTTGCCAGCGCCGCCGCTAAAGCTGCCAGTTGAGCTATTGTTATTGTTTTTATTACTCGTGCTGCTATAGCATCTTAATTGCCAGCTGAAAGGACGATGTTGGATCGATGCGGGCGTCATGGAGAGGACCAACGTGGAAGCGGAATCTACTGCATGAGGCAAAAATTATAAACCGTAAGTTAAAATCATCTGTGTCAGAATGCGGTTTCATGTTGTATCAGATAACTTGCCAGCTGTGTTGCTCATGGATGCAACGCTGACGAAAACCGGCTGGCCTTTCCATGCCTGCAGCACCTGAGAAAGCATGAAGGAGCGACAATGCATTTCGGCGAAGAATTCAGAAAAACTAGGCCGGCAGGAAAGTAAAGAATAGTAATTTGACAAGAAAATCCAAACATGTACGTCTGATGTTCGTACAGAAGCAGGGTTGCCTTACCTGCGCCTGCAAGCCCCGAACTGCCCCGACCACTCCCGCCATTCCTCCGCGCTCGCGCTTCTCGCCAAGGTGATCTGGCTGGATGGAAACCGGGTCAGGAAGGGAAGTCCCTCGGCTTGCTTAAGTTGGAATTGCGCCTGCGAGCGAATGCCGTTTATGGAGCGCCGTCTTCGCAGCGTTGGCGAAACTCCCCGCTCCTCCATTCTCCTTGCTCCCACATGCTACACTGATGCACCGCAAGGTTGCTCCAAAACTACTACAAGCCCGCTGCGCTCAGTTGGGAAGGTTCCTTGGGGGGCCGAGCAAGGAGCGATCTGCGAGCCTCCTCAGTCGCGACGATCCCCAGGAAAGGGACGATGTTGCCTGAATGCACAAGTGCAGCCTTGTGCACCGAAAATTGAGGAAGGCGAACATATTCTCATTGACTGCTAGGTGACGGGTGCACCCCTGTACACCATCCGATTCAGGCCAGGCAAGAAAGCCCCGCGTTTTCCACCCGACCGTCGCCCTCCACTCCGCCCGCCACCACCTCCAGCCTGCCGTACATTCTAAACGCGCGGTTGTGAACTAGTAACTGTTAACCGGTGTTTCCAGATTGTGCTAAAAACGCCGTGTAATCGTCCGTTGAAGTTCTCCACTTCTCACTCCCTCCCAACCCTTACGGACAACCCCAATCCGCTTGCACGTACACTTTCCCTCCCCCACTTCCCAACAGAGTGTTACTCCCCAGCTGCGCTGTAATCCGCCCTTAACTTACGTGATGCCCTCATACCACCTTCCTCATTCTCCCCTCCCTCGCCCCTCAGTCCTCCCTTAGGAAAATGTATTCGCATTTCTGGTGTATCAAGAGGAAAAACGATTTTTTGTTATCTTACTTATTCCCAAGCTGCTAAGCATTTTGTTGTTATGTTCAAAAAACCAAACCCACCAGGCCGATCCTTGAGAATTCCTTCCTCTGGAATATGCCTGCCTTGTTCAACAATTGTTTCTAAACTCGCAAAAAACAGTTATTGCTTTAACACTCTTCCGGAGGCCGCCGGTTTATGTGAGGGGCCGGTACAGGGCAGCATCGGGGTCTGCGATGCTTCAGTCTCCTCCGTCCTCGTAATGGACTACACTCAATACGCCTCGGTGACGACGCCCACGAGTTGAGATATTTAGGTTTGTCACAAGCTCTGATTGCGGTAAGATAAGAAAACTTTTGCAAGCAGGGAATAGCAACACACCCGCAGAGATGGCGCACATGAAGTTGCTAGCACAGCCCCGCGGTATGGAGGGAAGACATGTCCAAAAAAGTTACTAGTTTCCCAGCATTCTACATTCCCGCTGAGGAATGTAATAAAACCGTGAGGAGCCCAGATAGGACCCATGCAGAAAACTTCACCAAAACAAAGTCTGGACACTCGACGGCTGTCGTGGACCCCCATCCTGCCCATCACAATAAACCCTCATGTCCCAGGAACAAACACACCTACTGCAAACCCCCTTGAATCTCCCTCTCTCCCGCCTCTCATCGGGTACACAATGCGTGTGCCCCATGAGGGGCCCCCCCGACCCAACCCCTTTCGTCTCCTTTCATAAGCCTCCTCAAGCTGCAAGCGGCGCGTATGTATCTCCTACTGCTTGGCAGTCCTCTTGCCTTCCCCTTGCCCAGGCTAGGTTGCAGGCACCATTTCCGCTTCATCTGTCTCGGTGCGTGTGTGTGTTTCCCTGAACTGGACCGGTAACCCAAGATTGAAACAGGCTACGAAACACGAGCCGCCCCTATACCAACAAACCCCACGCTATCCTTCTCGGGAAGGGGGCCACCTAGGAGGTTTGTTTCTGCTTGCGAGGCCGCCCCCTTACCTCCCATCCCCAGGGGCCGCCCCGGACCCACCCCGCTACACACACCCGTGACCAGGATCGACAGCTCCATCCCCAGATAGCGGCGGCGGGCCCTTCATTCCCTTGCCCCCACCACACCAGCATTGCCGCCACCAACCGCTGCAACACCATTGGGCGATGCATATCTCCCACCAACATTTCTACCAAGACACAAACCGGCAGAACTCATGCAGTAAGACGTAGAATGTAGCTTTTACTACCAACCGTGCCTGGAGAACCCTTGGCCGGAATGTACTTGTTAGGATAGTACACAACGCTAATGTTAGCTCCGTTACCATCCGAGCCACCATAATCACCATCACCGCAGTAATCCTGAAGTCCTTTCTCAATCAGCAGCCCATAGGAAACGCAACAGACAAGGGCACCAATCAACAACCCTTTGCATCGCCATCTGGGCCCTGGCTCCATGCTTGGTTCCCTCATACACTCGCGCCCACTTTTGACTAAACGCATCGGCCCCTCCCTGGCAACACCCGGGAGATTCGAACGAACTGAGTCTAGGTCCGCATGTCCGTCATACTTATTCTTTACACCGTCCTTATCAATGCAGGTGCGGGGAATGCGAAAAACTCCCTTCTTGCCGACGACATCGTCAAATCTAATCCTGCTGCGCTGAAAGACAACCTCAGTGTATGTCTTCCGTGGTTGTACGTCTGTCTGCATGTCCATTCGTAAAGACCAGTATCGAGAAATGAAGCCCCCGAAAGGTAACCCAGAACCCGGCAGGTACGGTCAACAAGGGTCCGTCCGTCATTTCGTCGTCCGGTCCACAATACTAATTCCTGTTATCACATTATTGTCGTTGTGCCAGGAAAAACGTCAACGGCCTCAGAAACAGACCTCCAATGCCCTTCGCCCCAAGCTGCTTAAACCCGCCCCTTCACACCGCTCCTCAAGAACATCCCCAAAACTCGTCCGCGCAGACCCTGCGACATCCTCATCCGCAATGTCATCTCAATTCTCCCCAACACCCTCACATTCCGCCCTCCCCTCAGGACCCCTCGCCTAACACTGCAGCTTGCTCCTTTGCACCATTCCCTTCCCCCATCGCGTCTGGTTCCCGGCACGACAGACGCAGCTTGACTTCTTCTTTCCCCTCCCCCCTCATTCCGTCTGTGCTTCGTCATAACTCCTCATTCAGTCAGTCACGCCATCCTTTCACGGATCCGCCGTCGTTAGTAACGTCAGGAAGGCGCTCGCAAGTGCAGTGGGAGGGGGTAACACGTGAGAGGGCGCATCGAACAGCTGAGCCCAGCGAGGTCGGCCGCCCGAGCCGGACCCTGCCCCGGCGGCAACTGCAGCCATGTCCACGTCCATGGGCGCGGCGCCGCCAGGTCCACCAGCCTCTTGCCGACCCGTGGTTCGCCCAAAGACCGCCTCGAACGCGGATAGCTGCTGACCTCGCTCCAGAGGGGTCGCTGCTCGTCCTTGAAGCCCGACTGCATCCAGATGGAGGGCTTTGGATGCTGCGGCCGCGAAACGTAGAGGGGGTAGGGGGCCCCGGCCGGGTGAGCTAGAGTCAAGGGAGGGAAGGTCAATTGGGAGAGAGCATGTGCGTCTCTAGTTCGGTGGGGAGTTATATGCATTCGATGGGGCAGCAGGAAAGAAAATGACCTATTTCATTTTTGGCGGAGTAGATTAGGTTGGTAAGGGAGGGGGCCAAGGAGGGGTTTCGGTGGTAGAATGAACCTATCATTTCGCCAGTTTTGTGATTTATACTACTTAGGCGTTTGATTATAACGCCAGCGACGCTTTCCGACCATCAATTTAATCTTAACCAGCGAACCAAAGCCATCGCAAAAACCCCATACCTACAACCACACGCACATACCTGGAAGCGCTGCTAGGGAATACTGTCGGTTGTCACGAAGGATGAAGAGCGGATTGCAGCCCTGAACCGCCTCGAACCCGCCAGCTGCCGCCACCGTCCCCCCGGGGCCCTGCAGGTGGGCGATGTGCACGTGTGCGGCCCCAGCCACGTGGCAGTGGTAGCGAGGTGTCGCGTCCCGAGGATCAAACACGACCACGTGGCAACTTGGGGGAGGCGGCCGGGGCGGCTGGTGCCGCGCTGCGCCCTTCCCGGCTGTTGCCGTGGATGCTGCTGCCGGTACCGCAGCTATCGCAGTGGCATCAGCGGCGCCGGGCGCCGCGGCGCCCCGCGTCGTAGGCGCAGCGGCAGCGGCTGCTGCTGCCGCCGCCTGCTGTTGCGCCGCAGGTGCCACCGGAATTGCCACCGCCAGCAAGCCGTAGGCCGCGTCGGCGCTGATGGAAATGGCGTTAAGCGGCAGGCACCAGTGGACTGCAGCCGTCAGCAGGTTGTATACCGCCAGACACGACGGCGATGCGGCCGCCAGGAGCGGCGTCCCGGGGACAAAAACAAGCTGCGTCAGCGGCGGCGCCGCTGACGGTTCCCCTGCCGCCGTCGTATCCGCCGCCGGCAGCACAGCCGCAAGCGCGTTGCTCTCGGCGTCCCATAGCGTCACCCGCGCACCCGCCGCCACCGCCAGTACGCTCCCGTCAGTGCTGAATGTCGCCGCCGCCAGCGGCAAGCCCTTGTACCCGCCTGTGCTCCGGCAGCGCCAACTTGTCTCCGCGACACTGGGGCCTCGGCGGCGGCGGCGGCGGCTGCCACCGCCGCCGCTGCTCTCTGGCCGTCGCCGCTCTTGAACCCATACTTTAAATTCCGAGTCCGTTCCCAACCCCCCCGTTGTAACGGCCATGTGGCGGCGGGGGTGGTACGAGAGTGACGTCACGACGTCTCGGTGGGGCTCATCCACACGAGTATTAAGAGAGAATGGCGAGGATTCGGATCTGGAACCAGAGCCGGATCCGGTGTCCCAGAATTTGAGGCAGGCCTCCGTGGAGCCGTACGGCCCGGCGTCGGGCCTGAACCGGGGAGGTGGCGGTGGTTGCAGCGGTTGCAACGACACGGGTGGTGGCATTGAAAAGCGTCAGCGACTGATGACGGTTTGAGCAAACGCGCGCAGCCGATGCGCCATAGAAAACAAGCCGCATGACAAACCATCCCGTTGACCACATCTTTACATAAAACATCACAACAAAAAGCATCAGCCCTGGCTTTTAGAATCTGGGCTGTGATGCACAACACTTCATAAATAATACTCCCTCAGGTGTCTTCACGACTGCCATGTGCACCGTCGCTTCCGCCGACGTGGATTCATTGTGAGCCAGCTGGCCAGCCAAACAGCCAACCAAATTGGCCTCCAACAAGCCGCAGATTCCCTGGCTCCCTATCTCTTGCATCCCTCATCCCTGACCCACACCCACCTGACATCTACGGTCGCCAGAACAGAGCCATCGAAGCTAAGCGCCAGTAGTGACACGTACGGAGGCAGTGGAGACTCGACGGGGACCGGGGGCCCTGTCCCCCGCGCCGCGACGGCGGCGCCGGCTGTCGGCTCCGTCAATGAAACCGCATTACGTGGCGCCACCTGCAACAGCCTTATGTGCCGGTCTCGTGACAAGTCGTAAAATTGCAGCTGAGCGTTTTCGCAAGATAGAAGGAGCACGCCGCCGCCGCCGCTGCCACCGCCGCCAGGCCCCAGCATCGCCGCCGCTGCTGGCGAGCCCGACGCCACCACTGCGGCGGCGGCGCCGCCGGCGCCCGCCGGCGGCGGCGACAACGATGCGGGCGGCGGCTGCAGCCCCACCACGGACATCTCCACCTTCATCGTCGCCGCGTTCACTACACGTACGATATTGTCGGCCTGCCGTACAACGTGCTTGGCGGGGTCAGCAGGCGAGGGGTGCAGGCCCACGATGGGGCCCCCCAGGCGCGGCAGGAAGGTCCGGCGGTTGCTGTCCAACTGCCACAACACCAACACCCCCTCCTGGCCACCTGACAAGAGGTACGTGCCTGTAGGGGCGGATGATCCATACACGAAAGCCGGCGGCCGTGTGTGTTTTAGCGTCGGCAATAAGCACAGCTCAATGTACGTGTAAATGCGCGCTTCTAATTCATGTTCACGACGCAGAGCCACAAGAGAGCAACGAGTGAGGCGCCCGCGACATGAGCGGGAGAACGAAGGGGTTCTTACGACGCCTCCCCAATCCAAAACCACATTCGCTCCTAAACCCAAACCCGCCCTCCCATTGCCCTCTACCCAACCCCCTCACAATACCCCGCGCCCACCGTCCGGTGAGAAGGCCAGCGCTCCCACGGGGTGTGCGTGCCAGTGCAGTGTGGTTAGAGGGGGCTGTACGGCAGGGTGTGCCTTGCCCGAGTGCTCCCCGTCTCGCAGAGCTGCGGGTACGGAGTGTTCGAAGGAGCGCCACAGGAGGATGCGGCCACTCACATCACCCGCCGCAATCAGGGAGTCGTCCGGGGAGAGGGCCAGACACTGATGGGAAGGGGGGAAGGAAGCGGTTAAGGCAAATGGCCATGAGTACAAGGGGTTGGTAGGTGATCGGGTCCTTCCGGCATTTAATACGCGTGCCTGCGTGTGTAGCGGTGGGTGAGAGGGGAAAGACGAACCACACGCGATTGAAGCTGCTGCCAGGGCAAGAAGGGTGAGAGGGGAAGAGAAAAAATATACCAGGAAAAACTGGGTTCTTTGGATACTATTTCGCGCTTTCTTCGCCTCCCTCGCTCTTCCCGCCGCCGCTTTCTTCAGCACCTACCTGCCTGGCCCCCCTCAGCCCTCAACCCCGGCCCTCCCCACCCCCACCCAACCCACCGTGTAGGGCTTGGTGTGATGCAGGTTGAGGGGCTGGTGTACATCAGTTCCCGTACGCCACACAAATAGGGAGTGGCGGTCAATAGTGGCGGCCAGGGTACCCGCGGGGCTGAGCACCAGCGGCCCTGCAGACCGGGTCTTGAGCGCATTGCCGCTAAACTGCAAGGAACAGGAAGGTGACCAGGACGGCGCGAGTGTTGAGGAAAGGCAAGCAGAACCCCCAACGCGGCAGCCGGAGAATATCAAAGTAACATCAAATAGGAAATTGAATGCCAACGTAACAAAGGCACCAATTGCCCAAGATAAAATAAAACATCAACTGCCTCGTAGCTCCGGAACCTGTTCCCCTATCAGCAAGTATGTCTCATAAATAATCTTCTTAGTACTTCCGGTACCTGCTATCTAGCACGGTGCTAAGGTGTTAACACTTTGCTACCGGGGTTCCTCCTCCTCAGATACCTCAATCCCCAAGGGACGGCCTCCGGCTTGTCGTCGTCTGAAGTGCCCGGGGGACACTGTGCTAATACCACCCGACCCTTCGGTCCGAATATACCGCCCTCGTCCCAGACGTTCGTTCCTCATCGTACCTTGCCGGTACGGATATTGTACAGCATGACACGCCCACCACCCTCCCGTAGCTGTACGGAAAAGTACGCCACTCCCAGCTCCTTTTGGATGACCTGCAGGCGAGAAGATGCATGCGTGCGATGTGGGTTGCAGCGCAATGGTTGGTATTTGAAAGCTGGCAATCTTCCGCACGTGCAGCGGGGTTGGATGAGGGGGGTGAAAAGGGATGCAGCAGGGAGAAGGCTACCTGGAGGTAGCCATCCCGAAAGTCCATTGTACCCTGCTCCGAGCCCCCAGGGACCTGTCCAAGCGTGGTCCAGCTTTTTCCTACATTTCCCTGCTCCGTGTGACGCCTCAGCACCATATCCACACTCCGCGCTTCCCTGCCGTCCCGCAGGGCCCGCATCTCTGCCTGACTCTTCCCCGCCTCCCTTCTTCCCCGGCAGCCGATACCTGCAATTTAGCGACGCCCCCTTCCTCGCCCTATGGGTTTGCTTGACTTTTCCACAACGCTCTTCCCGGGCCCCCTCACCATGTACTTGACGGACTCCCGAACCACCAGCCTCCGCAGCTCCTCACCCGACCGGTAATCCCAAAGCCGTACGGTGCAGTCCAGAGAACAGGAATATGCCTATTGTGAGGGGCATCGGGGGGGAGGCAGTGGGCGAAGAAGTGGCGCAGGGAGGCATCAGGGGAAGCGACATGAAAAGTGCATCAGGGATTGCCGACTAAGGGGAGCGGGGGGCTAAGAGAAAGACAACCGGACCCTGATGGAGAGCAGCCGGGGCGGACGTGCGATTTTAGGTTGGGTGGGTTGAGGTGCGGCAAAGAGAGAAGCTCAGCGGTGTTCTTGCCCAGACTGCTTGCATACATGGCCTGGTGCTGGTGGCGGCGCTGTTGCGGGATGAGGGCGGGTGGGGTAGGATGCGATGGAGACGGCAGTGTGCCAGCCGATCCGCCAGCCGCACGGAGTCTATTCGCCGGTCAATCGACCAAATGCGATTGCAAAGGCTCATACAAAGGCTAGCTGGCTGCAAGCCGGCTAGGCGGGCAGCCAGAAGGCGGCGCGGGCGAGTTCCCATGCTTGCCTGTGTTCCCGCTAGCGCCAAACCGGGCTATCGGCAGGCTGCGTGCATGTTTGTCCTTCTCCCTCCCATTTCCTCTGGAGGTCTGTACGGTCTGATTAGTTAATGCGTAGACTGTGCCCATGTAACAAGAGAGGTCGCTCGCTGTGTAACCTAAGGACAGGTTCCGGAGTGCTGTATAACCCAAGGAAGGGCGACTGTTGTGGTGTCAGCGCCAGATAAAAACTCTCATTCAGTGGTGAGGTGGCAAAAGCGTGGGGTATTCTCCGTCCCACTTCCTTGTATCCCTCCCCTTCGCCGTCTCTTGGCACCGCCGCCGGCCTCGTGCTCTACTGGTTCCTGGGGTGGGCCGGTGTTTTCGAGGGCTTCCGCCGACTTTAAACCATCGCCCGCCCCGAGCCTGCCATTCTTGTTGCCCATGTCACACAAATTGACAAGGAAATAGTTTACTATGAATTCTTCATTCGCTAGCTGTCCCCCGGGCCCGAAAGCACTTCACCGCCGCCGCCGTCCGATTCCGGCCGGGTTTCTGTCCCGACAGCCCTCTCCAATTTGCGTACCTGGTCATCGTTCTCAGGATCCAGCACAACGCCCGTAACCTCATCCGTGTGGCCGACGAGCACACCTACTCGCTCGCCGGTGACGGCGCTATAGATGTTAACTAGCCGGCCACAAGGGCAAAGGAGAAGCTTTCCATCTCCAGAAAGAGTTCCAGGACGTCTGCTTAAAATGCCTCCACCAACCATTTTTATGTCGAGGTGATGTCGTTGCAAACTTATTTGGCCTAACTTCAAATGCACATCGTGGCAGGACTATCAGGCAACGTGGCTTGTGAGTTGCACTCCAAGCTGAAAAAATTGGACCAGAGCGACAGCATTTGTTTTGCGACGTACGACACCGACAACGAAAACCAAGTCTAGGGCTACCGTGCACGCAATATGCAAAAGTATAGCCCGATACTAGGGGCTTGTGTAGGTGGTTGTTGCGAGCCGTTACTTCGTCTGCTCAGCACCTGTCCTCACATCAGGTTCATCCTTTCAAGGATTGCATATCAAAAACACAGTGGCAGCTCCTTTACTTAAGCGCAGACGCTACTTTTTTCCTTGAAGCTTTGGTAAGCTCGTGGACGCTTGGCAAGGTAAGGTGACAGGGTTCGCTTGCTGCACCGTTACACGGGCTGTTAGCAGATTCGAGCGCCAGCATAGAACCAAGACGTAATGTTTGTATACATATGTTTTATGCACAAGCCTCAGCTGGTGCGTCATGATCCTAAGTCCATCCTTGCCAACAATCGTGTGGTGCTGGCGACGTCTCGTGCTTGGCGAGCGCTGAGCAAACTCAACGTTGCGCTGTATCGTTTAGCTTGCACCTTGCCCAGAACACCTGCGGTGATGGGTTGTTTCTTCTAGGTAATGAGGCCGTTCGGCTTTTTCCATCCCCACTATACGTACGGGGGCCTAACCTAGGTGCAAGAGTCGAGACGCTCAATTTCGTGGACTTCCAAACCGATCATTTCGACTCTTCCCCGAACTTCTTCCTGTTATGTATCGTCCCCTCTCACGTTTTCCACGTCCTCCCTACGGTACCCGGAAGCGGTTTCCCACTTTCGGAACTTTGGAACCTTCTTTCCTCCTCAAACCCGCCCTCTCCGGCGGATATCACGCACCACATACATTCCCGCATGGTATCTGTCTACAAGTGCGCTACATTGCGCCGTCCCTTGACCCCTGTGACGATGCAGTGTTCGCACGTAGATTACCAGGAGACTGTAAGGGCAACTGCGCCAACCTGACGCGGGTGCACTCCAGCCGACGTTGCAGTATAACGCTCCCCAACACCACATAAATCCCCCTAGCAGCCCTCAATTTGAGTCACGGATACCCGCGGCGCGTCGTTATCAGCTTAGTGTGCGCAACAGCAAGAGCGGTATCGGCAGCTTGCAGGATTGGCAACGGCAGCATCATCAGCAACAGCTATGCATCACCTGCATCGTCAGTCCGGCGCCATGCGCCACCGCACTTCCGCTGACCGCGTCAGTGGAAGCGGCGTTCGCAGCGGCGTCATGCACCCGAACCGGCGAAACATAGCCACCTTTGCTGCCGCAAGCAGCACCAGCGTCGCTGCCATGTCGTCCCAGATGCGTGCCGTACGCAGCAAGATGGAGGAGGACGAGCAGCTGCGTGTCCTGATGGCGGGCTTTCGTGGTTCCAACTTGAACGAGGACGACTTTGCTTCCTCGGGTGTACGCATGGAGCTCATTGAGACGGACTCTGACAGCGATCATCAGTTGCCGCTGGTGTACGACGTGGACGCTATTTCGGCCTACTGGGACCGCAGGCCGGTATCCGTCATTACACGCATCGCGCAGCTGCTGGGTGGGTGGGGTAGGGGTTAGGGAGTGGGAGGAGGGAGGAGGGTAGACTGCGCAGCGGTTGTAAACATGTGTAATTTCGTGGAGGTGCGGTAATTACGTTACCGGGTGGGTGCATGGAGCAACAGAGTCTTTCTGTTGCGCGTGCACTGGTGGCTCTTGGTTGAAGGACGGTATGTGATGTCGACGGGACTAGTGGGGATAAGCGTGGGATGTAGGTATCAGGTGAGGGTTGGTGAGTGGTGCTCAGAGGCTTGCGGGATGGGTGGGTGGGTGCGTAAGCTCTCTCTCGACACGAGACTGTGACCGCTGGTGCTGTCCCCTCATCGCCGCACCTATTGCCTGCTTACCACGCGCCACCGCGTCACATAATGCCACCATTCCGTCTCGCAAACGCTCCTGTTGACCTGGTGAGCTTGAATTATGTTTCTCTTTTATCACCCTGCCATCCCACAATCTGCTGGGTCGCATCAACACCTCGCATCCGGATCTTGCCAGTGTTCCGTCTTTCCATTTCCTCCCAACCTGCCCTCTTAGGCATCTCTGGTCGCTTCATTACGGGTTTGCTCGTGGATGCGGCTGCCGGGAAACTGCGGGAGAACGAGGTAGCCCGGGCCATTCAGCTGAGGGACATTGTCACCAGCCTGGGCCCCGCATACATCAAACTGGGACAGGTGGGCACCGGGGTGCGGGGGCTTGGTGTGGATGTAATCTTGGCCACCGGAATCTACCATTATGTAAGGAATCTCTACCTGCGAAGCGCACAGTCCAGGTAAGGTTGTTGCATCCAGAGACTACAGCGTACGCTTATTCCCCCAACACGGGGTCTGTATCCGGCCGCATATATTCACCCCGCAGTTCTTCTTTAGGATTTGTATTTGCTTTCCCATGTCGGCACCTCCTCTCTGTCAACTTTCCCCAGGCTCTATCCATCCGGCCCGACCTGCTTAGTCCAGCCGCCATGAACGAACTTCAGAAGCTGTGTGACAAGGTGCCGTCCTTCGACAACAAGTTAGCAATGCAGGTGGGCGTGGGGCGTGGGGCGTGGGGTGGGTTGGGGGGGTTTGGACAGCTTAACGGGAGGCCCGGAGGTCGGGGGTTGGGGTATTGGGAAGTACGACTGGACTCGGGCAAGAGACATAGATGTATTGCCTATTCGGCAAGGCATTGCGATGCGCAGCAGCGCCCCTTCCCCAAGCCGTGCTGCGAACGCTATGTTCGTGCCTTTCTTTGGGTCTTCCGTCTCCTCCTTTCGACAGGTCGTCCAGGACGAACTGGGCGCGCCGTGGTATGAAATTTTTGCAGAGCTCACGCCTGAGCCCATTGCAGCGGCCTCGCTTGGCCAGGTGGGGATATTGGTTGTGCGAAGGGAAAGGCGAGGTTGAGGTTGTTTTGCAAATGTATCGTGTACGGTTAGAGGTCAGCTGGAATGGGGCCTGTTGGGACTAAGACGCACGTCCTCGAGTGCCCTAATATCGGGACGATTGGGTGCTGGGAGTAGGCTGGTTGGGTGCTGCGTGAAGCCGGATCAGCCGCGTTGCTCCTTTTTTGGCTAGGAAAAGAGACGGGGTTTGTGTGTGGCGTTACATGGCACATCACAGTAATGAGGCTGTCCTCCTTGAAGTGTATGCGCGCGTTTACGTCGCATCCATCCTCCTTCTCCTCCTTCTCAGGTTTATAAAGGCAAGCTCAAGACTGGTGAGACGGTTGCCGTCAAAGTGCAGCGGCCGTATGTGTTGGAGACTGTCACCATTGATCTGTACATTATTCGGAAGCTGGGCATCTTCCTCAGGCGCTTCCCACAGGTGGGGCTGACGGGAGGGGGGAAAGACGAACCACGAACGAGTGAAGCTGCTGCCAAGGAAAGAGTGTACAAGAAGCAAAACGGGAGGGGGGGGCAGGAGTGTAAAGAGCAAGCCGCCGACTCAGAGATGCAGAAATCAGGGGAGGTGTAGAGGTTCGAATGGAGCAGGCGGCGCTGGGGAAAAGCTGCATGCCTTTCGAGCAGGAGGAGATTCATTCAGCCTTGACGTACTTGCGCCCACCTATCCACATCTCGGTGCCTCGGTGTTATCGATGACTCCTCACATACATACAGAAACGCTAACCACATGCTAGTACCGCACGGACAGACTTCAGGGCGCTTCTGGACATTTCCGACATTTCCTTTCGTTACCCCAGAGGGCTTTTCCATTCCTTCCTTTTTGGTCTGCGTACAAGGTCTATGTACAATTGCTTCAATTCACGCACTCCCCTACTACACGTCGTCGTAATCGCCGTCATCTCAACCCCCCAGGTGACCACCGATGTTGTTGCCTTGCTTGACGAGTGGGCGGCTCGCTTTTTCGAGGAGCTGGACTACGTGCACGAGGGCCGGAATGCGGAGCGGTTCGCAGAGCAGATGAGGCAGGACCTGCCGCAGGTGGGTGGTGCTCATGCAGACGAACATTACCGCGGAGTAATAGCGGCCTCGGGGTACATGTTTGTGTTGACCTGTGTGTGTATGTGTGTGTGTGTGTGTGGCGAGGAATGAACGTCCTGGAAACAGCTGTGAACCATAAGGACGTAAATGTCCAAGATAGCAGCTCCGGCTGGGGTTGGCAGGTGTGTTTTGTTCGGCGAATGGCTACGGGCGGGCAGAGATTTAAAGAAAAATACCCCAAAGCGTGAGAGACTCTTGTCAAATAACCCTAACTTGCCCTTTTCCAATTTCCATATTTCATGCATACCGCCACCCGCCCCACTCTCCCACTCTCCCCCTTTGCCCAGGTGGTGGTTCCCCGCACGTACTTTGAGTACACCAGTCGTCGTGTGCTTACCACTGAGGTGCGGACCAACAGCGGGAGGGGAAGGGGGACCTAGGAGGCGCCTCATGGAAGTGCTCCGGGCATGTGTGCATTGGTGTCTGTTGTATGTGGAGTAGGTATGGCCTGGAGAGAGGGCCCGGGTATTTCCGGGGAGTTGTCGGTTGGATGGGTTGGATAGGTGCGAATGATGCGATTCACGCCTGGCGTGCTCTGGTCGGCGCCGGCTCCGCTCCAGTCCGGAGCATTTCTTGCTGGACTTCCCCCGGACGCGTCTATCGGTATCGGTGGCGTAATGAGGTCTGCAGGACAGCCCGTCATTATCCCCTGGCTCATGCCTTGGCTTTAGCCTGAGTCCGCAGTGTCCAAACCTGCACCTTCCTGTGTGCAGTGGCTTGAGGGTGAGAAGCTGAGTCAGTCCAAGGCGAATGATGTGGGTCAGCTGGTCAACGTGGGCGTCATTTGTTATCTCAAGCAACTGCTGGAAACCGGGTTCTTCCATGCGGATCCACACCCGGTGAGGAAAAACGTAGTAGCTATCGTACAGTACGGCACATGCATATCGTCTATAATTACGCGCAAAGGCGCTCTGTCAGCATCTTGAGCGGCCTTTTCAGCGGCCAGCGACGACAGATACGAAGGCTTGTCGCGGGAGGCTTCGGTGGGAGGTTTTTCTCGGGGAATCTTCAGGTGGCATCTTGACTCGTTCCTGTCCCGCGTATTATAAACCCAAAGATATCCCTACGACCTGTATGTGTAGGATAAACCAAGGAAACACGCTCAGTAACCTTTCTCCCGCAACTACAATAACTCTTCCCTTCTATCACGATGGATGCGGTGGGCGCCATACACTTACCAGTTGGTTCGTACTGTATATATGTCCATTCCCCCCCAAAATCTTTCCCAGGGTAACCTCATTCGCACCCCGGATGGTCGTTTGGCTATTTTGGATTTCGGTCTGATGACGGAGGTGGATGACGATATCAAGTACGGCATGATCGAGGCCATTAGTCATCTCATCCACCGTGATTACGATGCGATTGTCAAGGTATGGGTTGGTATGGTCAGGGGGTTAGGGCTGGGCTGTACAAAATATGAGTGTATCGTTTCTGGGTTCGGGTTCGGGATTGGGGGTTGATATTTGATGTGGCTGAGATGGAGTAAAGTGAAGTGTATGAAAAAAAGGGCAGCTGGACCTTCGTGCTTTAGGTTCCCCAAGCGGGGGTTGGTTATTTAAGAGACGGCCCAACTTGGCAAGGAGCAGGCACATCCCTAATCTATGCAGGGATGAGTCCTGTACGTCAGATTCGACAGGAGCCACATCCTCGAAATGGGCATCGACGCGTGGTGCTCCCATTGTTTAGAACATAGCTCCGTCACCTCCTCTCCTGCCGGTGTTGCATCGGACCCTTCGCTGGACCGTAGTGATGTTCCATCCAAGCCCCCTGGGCCGGCCTGCAGCCCGCTTCGTTTGACCCTCCGCTCGCATGCTCACGATACCTTGCCCATACGTCTGCCATGGAACCTACTGTATACTTGCCGTACATAGGACTTCGTGACATTGGATTTCATTCCAGAGGGTACCGACCTTCGACCCATCCTGCCGGTGCTGGCCAAGGTATGGGGGAGGGGTAGGGGGTGCGATCAAGCAGGTGTCGGCGGCGCCGGGAAAGGGCGAGCCCCGTTGTATGGTCGTCTGCACAGTTTTCTCAGTTTCTGTATGATGGACGACTTCCGGTCCGCAAGATCAATCAAGTCCTTGAGTTGTTAGCCGGTTGTTACTCGGCGGGTGAAGCCAAACGATGAGGAAGTCCTCGGAAACGGTTCAATTGCCGTAGACACCTGATCTTGCGCAGGTGTGTATACGTGTCTGGCATGTGGGCGCTTCTTTAGGCCAGGAGACCCAGAATTGACTCGCGAGGCTAGGTGACCCGCGCGAGGTGACCCGGTGGAACTGGTCCTACGGGAGAAGCAGCCTAGGGGATTCCGGTAATGTGCAATCCAAGTAACGCAGATGGAGGACGGGGAAGACCAGGCGAGGAACAGCGGCCATGAAGTGAAGGATGCATGCATGCACCCTGCCAGGACCTCGACGGCGCCTCTGAGGTCCGGGCCGCACGCACTGAAATGCCAACCTCCAATTGCCTTATCCGCACGCAGGTGTTTGACCAGGCGCTGGAGGGCGGCGGCGCCAAAAACATCAACTTCCAGGTGTGCTGGCCGGTTTGAGATTTTGTTGGCAGTTGGCGGGGTTTGGAGCCATCAGGCAAGAAAACGATAGGCAGGGGGCCTAGTGTAGCAGCAGCTGCCGCTGTAGGAGTAGGAGTAGGAGTAGGAGTAGGAGTAGGAGTAGGAGTAGGAGTAGGAGTAGGAGTAGGAGTAGGAGTAGGAGTAGGAGTAGGAGTAGGAGTAGGAGTAGGAGTAGGAGTAGGAGTAGGAGTAGGAGTAGGAGTAGGAGTAGGAGTAGGAGTAGGAGTAGGAGTAGGAGTAGGAGTAGGAGTAGGAGTAGGAGTAGGAGTAGGAGTAGGAGTAGGAGTAGGAGTAGGAGTAGGAGTAGGAGTAGGAGTAGGAGTAGGAGTAGGAGTAGGAGTAGTGTTCGCAGTAATATTCTGTTGCAGTCTGTGCTCTGTGGTCGCACATCTGAGTTATTAACCGCGCATGTTCCCGCTGAGCACCCGACTCTTTTAAGGTGGAGAAGTATCTTAGTAATTAATGCTGCAAAAGTACCTAATGCTTTTCTATAAGATGGGGCGAAAGGAAAGACGAACGAATTTTCGACCTCTCCTGCCGCCTTCCGCCGTCTGCCTGGTTTGGCCGTTTCGCACGTGCATACCAACCTGGCGGTTTGAAATGACGGTTTCCCTTGTCAACCCAAGAAGCCACTGTTATGTGTGTATCACGTGCAATGTAGTAGACCCGCTCCATCATCTGGCTAAATCTGCAAAGACACCCAATGCAAAGCTCTCCTTCCTGGGCTGTTTCTGACTCCGCGGTTCTCCCTTTCCATCTGTACCCTGTCACCTGTCAGGAGCTCGCCGCTGATCTGGCTCAGATCACCTTCGACTACCCCTTCCGTATTCCGCCCTACTTCGCCCTCATCATCCGAGCGATTGGCGTACTGGAGGGCATAGCACTGGTGGGCAATCCCGACTTCGCGCTGGTGGACGAGGCCTACCCTTATATCGCCAAGAGGCTGCTCACGGACGACTCGCCTAGACTGCGCGCGGCACTGCGGTACATGGTGTACGGCAGGTATGTGCGCATGCATGATGTACGGCAGACATGTCTGCGTGTGTGGTGTACGGAAAGGACGGTTATAGGGATTTGTGTTTCGTAGAACTGAGACGCGAAAAGCAGCTGACAGTGCAAATGTGATGCAATCGTTGGAAGAGGCCTGCCTGCATGATGTAACGTATGATTAGGGTTGACCCACATGACCGTTAGAACATTAGGAATACCTAGAAACGGCCTCCTAGGATGCATTGGAGCGTCCTAATGTCGTAAAAATGTGGCTTGAATGAATATCCTAGAGTAGTGCAATCGTGCACTCGTTTAACTGTACTTTAGGAAGCTGTGTTAAACAGATGAGTGGTCGCAGCAAAGGCCAAAAAAGAACTTGAGAACTCGTTATATACCACGCACAATGGCCGATAACTGTGCAGGATGATCCCGGAAAACAGTCTCTTAAGCATTGAAGTCTACTTATGCTTATGACAGGCAAGGGTGTGACGGGGGTGTACTGCGGCATGCAGTGTGCTGGTATGGAGGGATTGGGGGTTGTGAGGCCGGCGCTGCAAAGCCTGCAACCGACGAACGTGGTGTAACAATACCCCGGCCGTATCCAAGTTTTGGTGTGTTCTTATACAATATGTGACCCCATCAAGGTTCGGCCCAAGTTGGGCTGGTAACCACCTCATGGAAGCGACGAACCAACCCCTAAAGTTTTGGAATATTTTTGGAGGTCACATCTCGAACGTTTTGGGGCCGAACAGACATCATTTACCACTAGCTGCCTACCCCTAATATTAGTCCAGCAATTATAAATAGCTCATTATTGTAACGGTATTAGGGCACGTAGAATTCCCTACATAACCCTACAAAACCTCACGTGGTGAAAGCGTGCATGTGTGTCATGTATGTGCACTGTTGTGTGCTTGGTACGAGCCCCCCTCCTATCCCTCGCCCCTTTCTCCCCTGGCTGCATGCACCCAGCCACCAGACCCATAAAGCTGCGGCATGTGGTTGCCTGGCGCTTGCAGATTTTCTCATCCCCAATCCCCCCGATTCCCACCTCCGCCATGGTTTCCCAGGGACGGTGTCTTTGATGCTGACCGGCTTATCGATCTGCTGGGGGCTCTGGAGCAGTTCGTGGAATCCTCACAGACTGCCATGGGGAACCTAAACAGCGAGAGCAGCCTGAACAGTGCAAGCAGCCTGAACAGTGTGGATGGGGATGTGGGGCCGTCTGCGCAGCGGGCATCCCTGCAGCTTCAGCAGCAGCCTCAGTCTTTCGGATGGCCGTTTTCGCAGCTCTTCCCGGGTGAGGAGGGGTTGGGTGGATAAGGGGTTGGCGCGATGCTGGTTCCCTTAGGTTTGGGCTTGTTCACTTTTCCTTTCTGCTGACATACACTGGAATATACATGTACCTCTCGATCACCCCGCCCACCAGCCCGAACCGCTCTCTATTGCTGACATTCCGCGCAGGCTTCGACGGCCTCTCTAGCGTGCTTCTAGGCGGGGCCACAACCAACAGCACCAGCGGTGGCAATAACGGTCCTGCCACGTCTCTGTTTCCCTCGGGACCCATGGGTCAGTCTTCCGGCCCCGTACCTGCCATGCTAGACCTGGGCGGACTAGGAGAGCTGGAGCCGCAAGGTCTGGGTCTGGGGAACATCAAACAGCAGATGCCGTTGCTTGGTTCGATGGTGGCATTGCTGCCTCCACCGCTGGGATCAGGTATGGCGGCGGCGATAGCACAGCAGCAGCAGTCGACTGCGGCAGATGGGGACGGTGTGGCGTCTGGAGGAGTTTTGTCTGTTGGTGGGCTGTCAGCCACCACGACCGGCGCAGGTGAGCAGATTGGGTGGGGATGGGGGACCAGGGGTCCTGGTGGGAAGGCTTGAGGCACAGTGTCGAACAGCTTCAGTTTTGGATTTGCTGCGATTCAGGGCTGGGTCAAAGGGCGTGGGGGGAATCCTCTGGCCTCACCTACCAGCTGCAAAATTACTTATTTTCATGATGTCATGCTTCCCACATATGCTCGCAATAGTCCTTAATTCCCATACGCATCCTGCTCGTCGTCAAGCGGGGTCCCTCTTCCTTTGTTCTTGCCCACGCATTCATCTTTAACCTTGTTTGCCTCGCCCCTCAGCCGTCACCCCCTTCAATTCTCAACCCATGGACCCGGCTGCAGGTCTGGGTAGCGCCAGCCGCACTCGTGCCGCCCTACGCTTCATCTTCTCCCCCGAGGGAGCCTTGTTTCGGGACTTCATGTTGGACGAGCTGGTCAAAAGCATTGATGCGCTCAGTCGGGAGCAGGCGCTGGCGCTGCTACAGGTGGGGTTAGTGGTTGTGGAGGTGGTGATGGGTTTCGTTCGCAGCTTGGTGGGGTGGGTTGTGCGTGGGTGTGGTTAAGGGTGGTTGGTGGTTTAGTGCGTGGGGCTTGTGTGGATAGGTTTGTTATGGCTTTGTTCCCCTCCTTGCCTGCACCGCTTGCTGAGGGTGAAGGACGTGTCCACGACATGCCACCTTCTTCCTTTACCCTGCGCCTCTGCTAATATTTTCGGGCCTCATGCACTCTTTTTCCAGTTCTCCTCTCACCATAAACCCCTCCCAACACCCACCGAAACCATGTTTCTTGCTTGCTATGTTCAGAGGTTGGGTCTGCAAGGGGCACAGATTCCGCTGCTTCTGCCTGGCTCCTCCCGCTCCTTCCTTTCCCTGGCGCCCACCCTGACATCCGAGGATCGCCGAGTGGTGGACAATGTGACCAAGATTATGACATTTTTGACCCGTGGGTCACTAGGAACCCAAAGCCAGGTGGAGCAGGGCCCTGGTAGCAGCAGCGGTAGTGCCGGCTCTATCCTGGCGGCGACGACGCCTGCAGTGCGCATGGTTTCGGAGGGCGCGGCTGTGGCCGGGGAGTTGTTGCCGGTGCTCCCAGCTGTGGCCACGGAGGTGGTACCGCAGGTGGTTTCGCGGCTGGCTAGCAGGGTGGCGGCCAGGACCGTAAGGGAAGTCTTTGTGGGGCCACAATGAGTTGTTGCTTGAGAGGCAGGGATGTTAGTGAATACCGACGTGCATGTCATGTAGGCCTAAGGTTGGGGGTATATGTGCATAAGGGTTGCTAGAGAGGGACAGGTTGAACATGCGCATGCATGGACGGACGTTGGAAGTAATTATCATGACAATTAAGTAATCCCACTGACACCCGCAGTCACAGGTTCAGTTAGGATAAGGGGTCAGAGCAGGTTACGACCCAAGAGGAGTGCGTTTAATGAAATTCCGTGTTTTGTTAAAGCGAAAGTAAGGCCTGAACAAAATTTGCGCGGGCAGGTCGCCAGGCGGGTAAGCGACCACGGAGGGGCAGGGGTCGGAAGGTAAGCTCGATAAGGTTTAGCCAACAGTGGGAAGAGTCTCTGGATGGATGATTTGGGAGACGGAATAGCGGATCGGGCCCATCTCGCAATCTGTAGGTGGCGTGTCCTGGCGGGCCACCAACACGCTCCATGCATGGTGTCAGGATGTGCGGGCACTCCAAAGCCCCTCAAAGCGAGTCTTTTGAACAGGTCGTCACAGATGCTTGTGAGGCGCATTTGAGATCATGTGGTGCACATAAGAGTGATCCGGTGCTCCTATTCCGCATCTCCCACGAGTGACCTTTGACCTGGTGTTACAGTCCGGGTCCGGGTTGCTTCTGTTTGGAATGATGAGGTTTTTAAAAATGGAGCAGGAGTTAAACCTTCAGTGATGAGAAATTTTGGCCAGATGGTTTTTCGAAAGATGCAATGCAATGCAGAACTGTTTGTTCCGGCACAAGTTAGCTCGTTCATGTTATGCGAACCTACCCTAGAACGCAATCTGCCAGTTTGTGTGGCGAATGATGTATGGGATCAGCTACCCTGATATGGCTGGCCAGCCAGCTGACAGCTGGGCAAGCAACGGCAGGTTGGCTCATTAAGAATTGGGCGGTCTGCGTGGCGACCTGCTGGATCGTAGCCAAGTTGCATGCATGTAGCAGCTGGCCGCTGAAAAGGCCTCCCGAAAAGTTAATCAAGCGCTCCGCGCGTATATATAGTAGTTATGATGTACCTTACTGTCCACCAGCTCCTATAGTGGACCCATACGACAGCATTTATGTACGAGGCCAGCTTACGGCGGCTGGGGAGGCTTGCCCAAATAAGAGTTAGATATGGCACCCTGCTGCACATCAGGAGCCTGTGAAGGCAGACTTCAAATTAAAAAAACGGACATTTGAAACATTCTCTTTGGGAAAGGGAAAGAAACCCGATTGCAGCTGGTTGTATCATCCATCCAGCTCCCTGCATGTCTGTTGGACCATGACCATCTTGCAGTTCCACAGCCGCAAACTCAAACGGTATGCATGGACTCCCAGCCGGTGGCTGAGCCTGCATGCCACGCAAGGTGATGATGGCAGCACAGCTAAGGCTTGGTACGTACCTGTATGCATGGCATGGGGATCGTGGGTGGAGGATACACCTGCCGGTGCAGGATTACACATGGCTCCCTGACTGGGTATGCAAGATCCAAGATACCGTCCTGGCTAGTAGTCTGGATCATAAAGAGTAATGTGCTGTGCAAAGCCCCGCATAACAGCCCCGCACGGCATGCCTTGTGCCTGTGCTTGATGATATTGGATTCCCCCCAACAGCCAACTGGAGTTGCACACCTGCACCCAGTTCCAAGCATGTGATCTCATTCCAGCATTGCAGGCACCTGGACGAGCGGCCAACCTGTCGCAGTGCACCGCAGCAAGAGGACTGCGCCCAGGGCCTGTTGACATCACCCAGTTTCGATCTGGGGACCTCCTGTGTGTGAGACAGATGTGATTCCACTACACCATGATGTCGAAGCTAGGCACAGCACGCCCCAGCATCCGCTCTCCGGCGCCCTAGCCTTACACAACATCACGCACACCCACTTACACCCACTTACACACACTTACACACACAGGCACAGGCACAGGCGTCATGTTTCACGCACAGCGTACACCGCCACACCCAGCTGTGCCCGTGCAGCAGGCCTCAGTCCTGCTCGCTCCTAATTAGCCGCTACTTCTGCATGAATGCGGCATCATCAAGGCCGCCGCATGCATACATACATTTCGTTGACGCGAGAGCATGTTTGCACTTGCCCCCTTACACACGCTCCTTATGTAAGGAGCCCTAGTGCGGCCTGGCAGTATGTAGATGCAATCTGGAGAACCCCAAGCAACCAGACGCTTTCTCCAGCCCAATACAATATTCTGGCTCCTATTAAAGGGAAAGAAACCCGATTGCAGCTGGTTGTATCATCCATCCAGCTCCCTGCATGTCTGTTGGACCATGACCATCTTGCAGTTCCACAGCCGCAAACTCAAACGGTATGCATGGA